GCCTGCTCTTCTGGGATACACCTGAAAATTGGAAATTTCTTACTTTTAATTAGAATGAGTGGGAAAATGCTAAAATTACTTCTTTTTCTTTGAAGTATTTTTTATAATTAACATAATAACAGTTATAACAGTATAATCCTTTCATAATTAATATTACTGACATTCCATCATAAATGCTTTCCATGATCCTTATAATTTTTCTTTTACGTTTCCCAGAGAAAAATCTTAATTGCATGCCTTTTTAAATCAAATGTTATATTTGAGTTTGGTTTAAACATTCTATTTCATATTATAGAGATTAAATAAATTAATCAATTTGAAAAATTAAGCACAGTCCTGCAGTGCCAGGTAAACTTCCCTGTGTGTGATGTGCAGATTACTCTTCAATGTGCTACTAGTACCAATGAAGAACTCTGACCCTATAAAAAATAGAGGTTGTATGTATTTTGCATGTCTCATGTATTTTTGCTAGCTTCTTATATTCTGCCTGCATAGGACTTGGGAAAATGCTGTCTGCAGCCCTTTGAGGAAGAGTTTAGGCTTCATTTTCCTTTGCTTGCACTGGCAGGATATTTTTGATACATGTTTGTTCATGCAAACTGACACTTTAGAGGAACCCCTGTTTGAACATTGCTCACCAGGCAGTCAGTCAGTAACCAGAGCTGCCTCCTTTTGATCTCATTTATTGCTTTACTGGAACCTAAACATTCCTGAGTCCTTCGCACAACAGGTAAAAATAAGCTTTCAGTTCATACCAAATGTTACAGGTCGAGGATGGGGTCACAAATATAGGAGAAGGGACATGGTGACAGTAATTGATGGCATGGCTGTGACTTAAATATACAATATGATTTTTACTTCCTTTTTTAAGGTTTTGTTTTTCACAGTCTTTTCAGAGGTAAGATAAGTCAGTTTTGGAAGGAATTTGAGAACAGCAAAGGAGAGAGCCTAAGGAACTTAGTGATAAAGGCAGATGGAAAGTGCTGAAAGAGATTGTTTTTAGGTATGTTTTGCAAGAATTTTCCAGCTTATACATGGCAAAATGAAAACTCAAATGCAAAAATGAGGTTGGTTTTTTTTTTCAAGTCCCTTTTCCCCTGTAATTGTATTTATTTTACCAATTAGTACACGGTGTCAAAAAATCTAACAAAGCTTTTTACTGTAACCAATAAGACTGACTTAATCTTAACTGAGAGCATGAGGTTAGAACCTCTCACATAACTGTCATTAACCAGTCCTTGCTGCATAACAGCTCAAACACCTGCGTAGAAGTATCCAGAATCAGGAAACTCTGAAAGTTTAGCATTCTGCAAAATGGTCCCACAGAGAAAAATCCATCGGGAGTGCAGAGAAAGTGAACACCACACTGCTTCAAGTCAGTTCATGCCCAGATGAATGGCCTTGCCCTTTACATGCTGGAATTTTTTGTGGTGTTAGAAAGAAAATTAGAGGTAACTTAATAAATTTTTAAAAAAGTTAATGGGAAGTTCTTCATTGAAGTTTCATACATCTTGTAAGTAATTAGCTTGTTGTATAGCTTTTGATAATAAATTGATTAAATAAAGGGAGCTATGTACTAAGCCCATATACTGTTATACTTTGTGTTTAAGTGCATTTTCTTTTTTTCTTCAAGATTTCAACAGTAAAAGAACCTTTCATTGATCTTTCACTTCCTATAATAGAGGAGAGGGTAAGAAACAGAATATGTAATAAGTAACTATTACTTCCAGTAGATTGTTTTTAATAGCCTTATGAAAATATTTATCCATATACACATAGTTTTGATTTAAGTCTAGTAATGTAACCTTGTCCATAAATACATGTACTGTTACCATCTATTAATTATATAATTTTATTTATATATATATATGGGCATACAATGTCATAAGTGAATATATCTTTAAATTATTCAAAATTTTCATCAAATGCCTATAGTAACCCACAGAATATATAGGTCTCAGATTAGCTTCATTTAATAGTATGTGCTTACATAAATAGAATGATTATAAGCCTTTTTGTTTTTGGAGGTCCAGCGAGTCAGGTTCTAACCTATTGGTTTGTGTCTAGAGACCCTGAGTCCCTTGGGCTGATGTTTACCTATAGGATGAGACACTTTAGAAATGGATATTTGAATTTATTTATTCTGGTGCTCTCAGCATTTTATGAATTGCCTCTATTAGCTGCAGAGGAACTGTGTTCCTTTGAAGGCATAAGCTATTTTTTTAAGGACTTGGGCTTTTCATTTGAGAGTAGTGGGTGTGGGCTGGGAGTGATCCTTCCTCCATCCTGCATATATTCATCTACATTTAAGGGAGAGTAATTAATGTTATATTTATTTCTGTATAAAATGTATTTTTCTCCAAGAACCATTTTTTTTCATAACCAGTTATTCATCTTTGTTGGTGCACTGAGTGCAGATGCCTGTGCGAGTTAAGTCTTTAAGATAATTTTGAATATCTGGGCCCTTGTGCTTCCTGGCTCCCCTGTGTTGGTGGGTTCTGTTTGAGAATGATTTCTGTGGCTGTTCAGAAGTCACTGCGCTTACCTGAGCATGGGCATTACTTTATAGTCAGCACTTTCCTTTACACGTGACATGTGCTGCTGCCAGTAATGTGATTGGGGTGGGAGTGTGGCAGCTCTGTTGTCACAGTCTGCACCAGGGACTGACTTAGGGGGACCTGTGTCCCTTTTGGTAAAGTCACGTCTCCTACAGCTACGCATGTGCTTATACAATAGGAGAATAGATTATTTTGTATTGTATTACATACAGAAATTTTGTATCATTCCTATTCCTTGTGGCTTTCAGTTGAACCTTCAGAGATACTGACAGTGAGTTTATGATTAAAAAAAGCCTTAGAAAGTAGCCTTATATCACAATTCAGGGGGCCATTTAATTGGTTTTATGTAGGTTGCTGTTTTCTAAAATAAAGGAAAAAATCCACCTACATTCATCTTTTCTGTATGTTGCAAAGGAATACAAAATTGACATGTTGCTTTTCGTAATTTCCTGTCTAATTTCTTAGGTTGCAAAACCTGTGCCCTTGGGAAGAACAGGTAAAAGTAAAAGTGTACAGGAGGCAGATCTTAGTCAGTATAATTGTTCTTCTCTCGGTACTCTGAATAATCAACCCAAAATTGTCAAGAAACACACTTTAACAAAAGATAAGGTAAGAACTTAAATACTCATACTAACCAGTCATCCTGAGTTAACTCAAGTTTCTAGGGTGCCTGAGAACTTCTAGGGAATTTTGATACATGTCAGTGGGGTTTTTTTTGTATACATATAGCTGACATAGACTCGTTTTAAAATATTTAGGTCATCATTAGAAGCATGAGAAATGTCAGTCATTGGTAACCATTTAGCTTTCAGTTACAGGGTTTCATTTATAAGGAAAAGAAATCTGCAGGCTAATTTCAATTTATGTTACTTTTGGGACTATTGCAAGGGTATGTGCTCTGTTGAGTACCATAAAACCCCTCCTGAATCAAGTCCTAACACATTAAACACACGTGAAGAAAACATACAATGTATAAAATAAAACATATAAAATACAAATATAAAAGAATGATAGGAGAAGAGAATGAGACAGATGTAGAAAAAGGACAGGAGGTAGAAACAAAGGAAAGGATGGAAAGAAGTAGTGCAGAAACTGATTGTTATAGAAGAAAAGGCCTAGAGACTCAAACAATTGAGATGAATGGAAGGATTCCCATTGGTACCACTGGAATTTTGATCCAATTCAAATAAAGGACAAAAAAAAAAGGGAAATGAGACTTGTGCCTTCTCATTTCTTTTGGAAAGTAGCCAAACAGAAGAAGGCAAAAGAGTCATGAACATCTGCAAATCACCTAAAATTATGGCAGCTTCGTGGGTTTGGTTTCCTAAATCTATAGGAGCAGTTTTCTGTGGAAGCAATCTGTTTTTTTCTTCTTGCAATCTTGATTTAAAAAAAAGTCAACTTCAGCTAATACTCAAATCAGCAAACATCCTCCTAGGGATGCCTTAATTAGTTCTGTGACAAATGCCCGTGAGTTGAATTTTTTCTGGAGCTGCTCATCAACTAAGGCCTCTCATGGGAGGTCAAAGGAGTAGCTTAAACTACTGAGGACCTTTTAGAAGCTTGAATTAGATTAAGTGAATGCTACCTCAAATGTGCCATCTACAGCTGTCACAAAGTGAAAGTAATTAGTTGTGGGTAGTATTGATCTCACAGTAAGTATAAGCTGACTTAGCTGACTGGGATGTAGGTTTCTAATCCTTCCTAAGTTAGTTTAAAAACATCTTCAGGACATCAGCTATCTTAAACATGAGAGATGGAGAATATAGAACAATATAACCCACCGATAATTTGCTTTGCATTTGTCATGTTCCAAAGATTTGTTCACTTACGAATCTGCTTCCTGTTCCTCCCCTCTATTACTGAATTAATAATGCCATAATTTACAGAATCAATTGAACCATGAGAGACGGCTTGCCAGAAAAGCTTCCTCAAAGGAAGAAGAAAGAAGTCCTGTTATCATGCAGGAAAAAGCCAAAAAGCTTGAGCTGGAAGGTAGCTCTGGCACTGTGTACTCCAAAGACCCCTGTGCAGAGGCAGCTGTCAATGGAAGCCAGACAGAGGGCAGTGAGAAGGAAGCCAGCCGCTCCGAAAGCAGCTTTGATGCAGACAGTGAAGCCTCAGAAAGCGAAAGTGCTTCTAAGCAAACAACCTTGAGCCCAGCCAGCAGCGTGTCTGGTGTGCACATCAACCACTTAAACCCTAAAACGCCGCACAACAAGCCAAGCGACAGCAACGAAGAGATGATTTCCAGTGCCGTATCCAAACTTAGCTTCTGTGATCCTGTAAATGAAGATAAAAAATCAAGTTGTGGAGATCCAGCATTAGGTTTATCAAATAATTCCATGTTCTCAGTAGGCAAATCCTCACTATCCCAAAACCCTCAAAATGCTTTCCAGACACTTTCCCAAAGCTATATAACTAGCTCAAAGGAATGTTCTGTTCAGTCCTGCCTTTACCAGTTCACCTCTGTAGAGCTCTTAATGGGGAACAACAAGCTTTTATGTGAGAGCTGCACAGAAAGGAAGCAGAAGTATCAGAAGAAAACCAACTCCACAGGTAATGAGCTTGTACCTCTGGACAATTTCCAGCATTGCCTCCCAAAGCCTGTGTGCTGGCTGCTCTTCCATTGCTCCAGTATGGGCCTCCCTACCGTAGTTAAATAGAAAATCCCCAAACAACACTTGCTTGTAACAACTTAAAACTTCATCAGAAGATGGCAATAAGATGAATTTTTATATTAGAACATAATTGGAGATATAACATAGAATTCATTCGACATCTTTATTCTATCCAAGATAAAGAATTTAAAGGTGACTGTGGACCGAGTTTGTGCATTGCTCAATACTAATATTTGCTGCTGTTTCTGTTCCTTACAATTCTCAAAGCTTTGAAATATATGCTGTAATATTCAGCCCCAGTATCTTACATACTCAGGGAAGTAATGTAATTACATGTGGAAAAGATGCAAAAAGAGAGTTGTAATGAAGACAGGAAAAAAAATTCCAAAAATTTGTTAGAATGGAGATGAGAGAGAAGTACCTTCTTGTGACAATGTCTTCCTTGATGGTTGTATAGCCCAAGCAGACCATTAGAATTCACCGAATAAGAAAATCAACTTAAATTTTGTGAAAAAATAATATTTTAGAAGGACTGGAGGGTTGGGGTTTTTTTTATATATAGAATTACAGAAGACTAAAAATTTCAGCTCTTCTGATAATTTGTAAACACAATAAAGGGAGCTAGTATAATAACAAAAAATTGCCTGTTTTCTGTGCATTTATTTGAAGAGATACAAGTTAAACATGAGTAAATTCAGAAAAATTATTTGTATTTTATAGTCATTCTTTTAATCATCATTGGACTGTGCTCTTTTATAACACCTTGGTTCCATAGGCACCATGGAAAAGGAAAATCAATTCATAACTAATTATTTATTTTTTTCCTTCTAAACCAAAAGATGTAAGAGGTCACCCAATTATACATTAAGTGCTCCATTATATCTCAAATTAACTATTCTATTTTGAACATACAAAAAACCAGTAAATTAATTTTTTCAGCAAAAACAAATGCTAGTGGCATGTTCCCTTTTACTCTGGAGCTTTTCTGTGGAGCTTTCACTGTGCTACTTTTGATAAGCACCCTGTGTTCCATGCCTTCTGCACCGTAGGGGGTCTGGAGGCCACATATCCAAATCCTGAATGCTGTAGCCAGCAGGTTAGGAAGCTTCCTGAAGTAGACAACCCTCCTCAGACCTTTTTTGTAGTCATGCAGAAAGAACTGAAGAATGGAAAACTAAACTCTTAGTGATTAGGACATTAGCATAGATAAATAGACTTGTGCCTTGCAGTTTTTATCCAGGGATCATCCATTTATTTTAGGTTTTAACAGGAAAGCTGGGTGCTTTAGTAACAGACAATATAGGTATCTCAGTGTGCAGGCTGACCTAGATAGTGGACAGGATTCTAGCTTCTGATCTGATTTGCACAAGACTGGCTAAAATAATGCTCAGATTTCACAGATTATATTTATTAACTAGAAGAATGCGAAAATATTTTTGTTACTCTACAAAATTTCCGCTGTTTTTTATATATGTACAAAAACATCACAGCATAGATCTGTTCCATCAGATGTTTAGAAAGTACTTTAAAAATTCCATATGACTGCCTTCACTTTACATATTATTTTGATATTCATAAATACAGAAAAGAAAATGGAAGGTGTCTACACAAATGCTCGGAAACAGCTGTTGATTTCTTCAGTTCCTGCGATTCTTATTCTCCACCTGAAAAGATTCCACCAGGTAAGAGGCCAAACCTCTCTTGTATATTCCTCCTCCCCACCGGTGGACAAGCAGTTCTTCAAGTGTCATTGTGGATCCCATTACTGCCTTTTTAGAAGGTAGAAGCACTGTGAAACATGCTGATGTTTGTTGTGGTTATTCTAACATCTTCAGAGTACATTTAACCATCCTGATGTATCCAGGGAAACCCCTTATGTGTCGGTCACTTTGCATGTAGCACTGCACTGGAAACATAACAAAGAAGGTTTAAATCAGTTGAAATCTTACTCTTGGATTTGGTTAATTTTAATAGTATAATGATACACCTTAAAGCTTCCTCATGAAAATACTTATTTTACAGTTTTTCTTTTTTTTTTCTTTTGAAGGCTGGTTTGAGTCTACGGAAAGTAAACAGGCATGTGGATTTCCCATTGATTTTAGACTTAGCACCATTTTGTGCTGCATCTTGCAAGGTACCATTTAAAATCTTTATTTTTGTTGTACTTCAGCAGTTGGTGTCTTGATGACAAGTTAAATTGGATTGATGATGATGATGATAATGATGATTTTTAATTAAATTGTAGAGTGAATTTTTCAGATAGTGTCTTGAGATCAGAAGTGTAACTGTGTGCAATCCCATTCATATCAAGAATATCATAGATGTTAGCTAATATTAGTTAAGTGTGGTGCCCTGGTGATGTTGGTGTATATAACAGCATTAAGGACAAGTAGTACTGCCTCTATGGTGACTAAATTAAGTAAGACTACTGAGTACTTGTAATAGAGATATTTTGCTGTTGGAAATGCAACATTGTAGATGGCTGTTTGCCTCTTTTGGAATAATACTGCTGGTGGCTACTTAAGATGCCTGTAAAATTTATTGTGAAATAATTCACTTTTGTTTTTTGTGTTTCTGGGAATGCAGAACGTTATGGATGGTGCAAGAGTGCTGTATAGTCTTTATGGAATAGTGGAGCACAGTGGCTCAATGAGAGGTGGTCATTATGCGGCATATGTGAAAGTCAGGACATCCTCCAAGAAACTGCTAGAGCATATTTCTACCACTAAAAGTGTTCTGGGTATGTACAAACAGAGCTTCCTTTCCTTTACTGTAAACCAAAACTAACTGTCTACAGGGATTTATAGCAAATAATTTTTTAGCTGAGAATAATTGTTGTTTTTAGACAAGTTGTAGAAACCCCATCCCAGGATGTGCTCTGAGCACCAGTGGAAGTGTCCCTGCCCATGGCAGAGCTGCTAGAACTAGATGATTCTATTAATTATTCTTTTTTGTTGTTGTTGCACACAATGCATATCCTACTTCTGCTATTAATCCCATATAGAACTGAGTGAATAATGGAATTTTGATTCAGCTATTAAACAGATAATTGAGGCAAAACTTTTCTCTCTTTCCTACTCAAAATAATACATCCTGATGAGTAGTTTTGTCTGATAAAATTTAATTATTTGGCATATTTGGTATCTGAAAATGGTTTAGTACACCAGTCAAATCCATTATATTAAATTAAATAACATTTTCTGAATATCTGAGCATTTTATATATCTTATGTATTTTAGGATGGGAATTTTTTAATACTTAAAAATCTGGAATACTCTGGTTTAATGTGAACAGCAATAATCTTTTTCATGGAAGATACAAGGTGTGGTGTAGGGTTTCTCTTGGCATTTTGAGAACAGCACACTAGTTCTTTCTTATTAACACTTGATGGGTATGCAGAACAGATTATTTGGGATAAAATCATCATAAAGTCACCCTAGGACAAGAATGAAATAAGTTTCCAGGACAGAATCTGTTAGTGAAAAATTTGCAGCAGCAATAATATGTTAAGCTGTCAAAGTTAGGTAAATATATTTACTGTTTACCTTCCTGGGGAAGGTATGAACCAAGCATTATCCTTTTTATCTTGTGTGCTATCACTTTGCATTTGAAGCTTATTTCCCAGAAAGACAATCTTTTACCTTATTCATGAAATCAAAGTTTCCTTCAGTCTTATGCTTATCCTGCAATGATTATTAGAACAGATTAGATCTTTTCATGTTCTTAATGTCACATTGGTCAGCTTTTAAAATAAGACTATTTTTCTATGTCAGAACTGGTTGAATTCTAGTATAACTTCCTGTTGGAACTCCGCAAGCTGTACTTGAAATGTCTTAGGCTTTCTAAAACAATATGAAAAAAAGCTGTGGCAGCACCCATTCCTAGGCTTTGTCTTCCACCAGTTTCTCTTACAGTGCTCTTTAACACATAAGTTTCAAACTGAATAGCAGACTGTATCTAAGTAAGGAATTACTCCTGTATGTTAGAAGCTTCTCTTGCTTTTTGAAATAGCCGCTGTATTTTCATTCTATGAAAAACAAGAAAAAAATTTCTTTTGCTTCTGTATTTCAGGTTTAAAAGAAGCCATGGGAGCATCAGGAGGGCAGTGGGTGTACGTTAGTGATACCCATGTTCAGATGGTTCCAGAATCAAGAGTACTAAATGCACAAGCATATCTACTTTTTTATGAAAGATTATTACTCTAATTCTTAACAGTTTAATTTCAAAGAAGGTATTGTTATTTAGTTTATCTTATTTAAAGCTGCAGTGGTAAGAGTACCTGTAAATATTGTGCCTTTATATTGTAGAGAATTTATCATATTTTGACTCTGAAGTTCAGTTAAACTATTATAAATATTTGAATGATTCTCTTAAAGTATGCACTTTGCCAAACATGTAAAATTCCTGGGTTCATTAAGATGCAGTACTGTTAGAATGTAAGATGATGTCCTATTCTACTGAGTTCTAGGGAAAGTTTGTTTTTGATTATAATGAAGATAAGCTTTCGCCCATAGTTCTAGAACAACTGAGAATAGAAATACTGATAGCGCTAAGTGCCTGGATTTTCTGGTGTACAGTAACAATATAAAGTGTTCATCTTCTTTTGATCCAGTCCAGACCCTTCCCATCACTGGGTTGGATGTCAGCTGTTAAGATTTCTGCAAACAAGAGCCTGTCAAATAGTGTCGCTTCCGTGTGTAGTAATTGGAAAGCAGAGTCCTTCCAGAATGGAGTGACAACAGCTGTCTCTGTGTAGTGCTTCAGTGCACTTTCCTGATAAGAACTGGGAATAGACTGGGGAAACATGGCTTCTAAATAGTGACAGTGAATCCTCAGATAGCCAGTACCCTTTCAGTTGTCTCCAACTGGCACTGGTATAGCAATGTACTCCTGTTTCAATATAAATATGTACTTGGTGTGCATAAGTATATCCTCTGAGATATATTCACACACCATAAATCCATCAATAGATATTGTTATTTTATCTTCTAGGAAAGAGAATTGCAACTAATTTCTGTATTTAGTAATTTTTCAACTTCACAATTATGACAATGTACAGCATATAAACTTGTGTATGTACAGAGTTTAAGTGTAATTCAGTAAATTCTGTTACTTTTGGTTCCAAATATGGACTTGTTTATCTGTTCCTGAATACTTTTCTCACAGGAGTAATAAATTATAACTTATTTTTGCACTGTGTGTGTGAGTTGGACAGTAAATTATGACCTTTGCCCTCTGATACATGTCTGGACTCCCTTTTGTCAGCAGTGGGGGACAGCAGGAGTCCTAGTGGCAAAATTGGTTTCTGTAGACTGTGTGACTGCCCTGTTTTGAGGTTGTGCTTCCTTTGGTAATTTCTCATTTCCATCCCAGAGAATAACAGATACATTATATGGTCAAGGTCTGATGACTACTTGAAGTTTTGTGGTAATTAATTTATTTAATAAGCAGTTACTTAAATACAAATTACTTCTGTAACGTTCCATCCTGTATGACTTGCTCTTTGGTAGAGAAAAAAATGTTAATATATGCTTACTGTTTTCATTTATGGTAATGTTTTTTTAAATGAAAAAACATGTTGTCCCTATTACTGTCTGTACCACATTTTGTCATACCTAGCTGCCTGACTCTCCTATTCTCTACTTCTATTTCAGAGCTTCACCCCATTTGCATTCCCTCTTTGGCATAAGAAAATGGCACAACCTGCTAGAATTGCATTTGTTCAAACTGCTGAGGTGTAAGAGCCACATGACTTGCACATTCTTGTTCAGGCACTAGGGATTGTTAGGCCATACAACTGATAGTCATAATGGAGTGAGCCTTTGGTTGCACAGCATTTTATTTTCAAAAGGAAAACTCCTCTGTTTAGATCAAAATTAGGCTCTGTGTTTTGGCCAAAACCATGGTTTTTTTCCTTGTATAAATTAAAATTGTCTCGGTCTACCCAAAAGTAGTAAAATTCAGAGAAACCAAGCAGCCAGCTTTAGCTATCTGTGTTCCAGCTAAAAGATCTTAACCTAAGTCTACACTAAGTAAGAAAGAAAGATAATGATTAGATAAGAGTTGGTTAAAATATCATAATTCTCTTTCAGCTCCTTATCTTCCCATACCATTCATCCACCTACACCTTTATCCTCTTTTTGTGTAACTGATCAAAACTCAGAATTAGTTCCAGGCAACAATGGTAGGAAATAGCAACTAAGTATCACTTATGTGACACAATCTTGCTAGGGGGACACATGGAGTGAATCCTCTGCCCTAAAGCACACAGAGCGAGTAGCTGACACCTGACGTTCCTCTCTTTGCTGACTTCTGGAAAACTACTGAATTTAAGTACCTGTATTAATCTACTTTTTAGCCTAGACCTCCCTAGACTGCCCAACTAGGACAGAAACAGAATGAGGTTCTTAACCTCTTACTTCCTACTTTTGATGCTATTTTCAGGAAATTCCTGAGGTGGTCTTGCTTCTTTTTAACTGGAATTTGCAAGCTGGTTGCTGAAATTTTCCCAAGTGGACTTTACTGCCTAGAATGTCATAAAAGATGCTGGCAGGATTATTTTCTCTTTAACAGCCAGGGAACATTTAATTGTATTTACAGGTATTTTATAGAACACAGAAAGAAAGTGCCATGAAAAAGAACCCATGCCTTTATTCAGGATAGCCATCACTGTTGTTCCTGGATGAGGTGTTCTGAGTGGAAATTAAAAGCTATGTTGGCAGGAACTCTCTAAGCCTCAAGTCAGGAATAGGTATGAAAATATGATAGAAGGAAGCATTCTCTAAAAATGAAGGCAATAGGTGAAGTTATGCTTTCAAAATGAAAAAAACTGATGACCAGTGCAAGATGTCACACACAATTTTAGATGCAAGTCACGGTGTCCTTTACACAGATCTAAGTTATTTTGTGTAAAGTTTGGCTCTAAAGAAACTACATACATGTGTATACTGAAGTCTTCTTATAATTCTTTATCAGGAATTGGAAAAGAAGCTCTGGGAATTCTGGCATTCTGGGAAAACAAGAGTATACATCCTGTATGTGCTAGAATGGTAAATATGATTCTAGAGTCAAGGAACTGGCAGTTTCCTGCAACTACCAGATGTGGGCACATTATTGAAAAGCTCTATGTTTTCAGAATTTAGGTGAAGGGCTTGAAAGTTCAAGACTCTCCTTAAAATGTCTTAGGTTACCAACCAAAAATCACTTCAGGCCTACAGCATGTACTCCTTACAGAGCTTCACCATACTTTTGTGGTCCCCCACCCTGAGAAAGTGCAGCAGCCTCGGTCTTCATGTGGCATACCTTCAAAATGGCTTTCTCTTCATCCCACCCTTCTCTTCTCACAAGGGCACCCCTGCTTTCTTCATTAGCCCCATTTGTTCTTTATGTTTTTGGGGTCTCCATTAGCCAGCCTCTATGTCAATGTCTTTGCTTTCATTGCTATTCCTTAAGCAGGATATAGTGGCTCCCAATCTCATCACTTACTCCATGAGCTTGCAAAGCTCTTGCAGGAAGAGCTCCTGTAGCTGTAGTTGGTCTGTCCCCACCACCACACTGGCTCTGCCTACAGGCTGCAGTACTGACCCTGAGAAAAGCTGTGACTGCTGAGCGGCTCTCTGCTGACCAGCCACAAGACAGTGCCTGTAAAAGAATTACAAAGGATTGAAATTAAATTGTTCCTCACTCATCAGTAAGTAAACATCACCTATGGGAAGTACCTGATTTACATATATGGACAACTGGAACCCTCTACAAGTTTTCCCCAGAACAGAGGCATCAACAAAGACCATTCCATTAGCTAAGGAGTTAGTACAGATTATAGGAAAGAGCTTTGCTGTCTTTGGATTTATCTATCATTTACACTAAAAAATATTTATTATACTAACCTGTCTACAATATGTGTACAGACATCATGTTTGCATTAGTCTGTTCTCTTAAGAGATGGCTACAAATAGAGGTGAAGGAAAAACAAACCCTGAACTTTGCCGCCCAAAATGCACACACTGTAATCGCCTTTGTTTAGAAAATGAAATCCATGCAGTCTGCCAACCTTCCTCCCCTTTCCCATCTGCACCCTCTGTGTGCATCAGTGAAGTGCTCTTGCCTATGGATTTCAAGTGGTAGCAGGTGAGAGTGGTTTATAAATTCATTGAAAGGCTGAAATATCTAAACTTCACCATTTGCTTCTCTGTATGCTTCTTTTTTGTACTAACACAAACTGAATCATAAAGGGACATGAAATTAATGCATCTACATTCTCAACCCATTATAAAAATTTTATTTGAACATATTGGTAGCAAACTAAGAAAGGAGTAATTTCTTTAGTAGAAAATCTAAGATGTATTAAAAAGAAAACAAATTAGATAGGAATAAAGAAAGCATTTAAATACAACTCTTCTGTTAACAATAATTAACAAATTCAATTTTCATTAAAAAGTGGTAGCACACCTCAGTTTTAGCTATCTGTATTCCTGCTAACAACATCATAACCTAAGTCTACACTAAGTAAGAAAGATAATGTTTAAATGAAAGTTGTTACAACAACCCTGATTAAACAAAGATTTGATACTCCTTTGTTTTCAATATCTGTACTCTATTTTGCTGTACCCTGTGCACAATTACGCATTTGTACAAAGATTTGTGTATCTACATGAAAGAAATGCCACTATTCTTTGCATTTCAAAGAACCATTTCAGTCTAATTATTTTAGAACAGATTATTGTTGCTTCTGTGTCTATTTACCATGTCTTAAGCTGTCATTTTGGCAGATGTTCTAGCTGTTGTACCTCTCTTGTTGGTGTATAAACAAATTGCAGAAATTGTGGAAAAGTGATTATTCTAAATGATTCATAATCTATTTTTTTTTGTAAATGAGATTATAAAATATATTTTCAGATGGATGTCTGTGCAAGTCAAAACTCTTTCTTTGCACAACATTACATAAGAAGTCTAAGTGAATTTTTACATTATAATAAAACAATACCTATGCATTTCAGCCACTTTAAAACTACTTTGTGTACATTCCACTTATATAAAGTTATAAATACTTCCATCATCATTGATAGCAATAGAAAAAACTAACTTTTAAGTGTCGAGAATGTTTCTTACATCTATTGCAGCTTCCAGTATTTTTCTAGCACAAAATGTAAAGTTGCAGAACTGCTTTTAAAAGAAAACAAGAATGTTTATTTTGAGTGAGTTTATGACTTCTTTGCAATTACTTCATTGCTTTGCTGGTTTAGGTTTTTTCTTGCTTTTGAGCTGTGTAACATGGGAATCATTTTAGTGTATTCTGTAGTGAAACCACCATGTCAATGGCACCATTCGCTATTTAGCTATTCCACAAAGCTGAGTTCTGATTCTGCTGTCATTTATACATGGAAATAATCCCTGATATGTTCATGTGAGCTTGCACTTGCACAAAAGACAATCCAATAATCAAAAATTCAAAATACTTGTGAGCAATAAATCAAGCATATTAAAAGTTTCATCTAGTTTTCATTCATTTCCTTTTTTAATCTATTTGAACAATATTCTTGACTCTACTCTGCAGGTATTTAAATAACAAATAGTATTTTTAGAATTTGACTACAGTGCTGATACATTTCATTTGTAGATTTCTAATTCCAAATATTTCTAACAAAACAGACTGTATTTGAAAAACCAACACAAGTCTGATCAGTTTTCCAGTCTACCCAAGGTGCTTTAGCAAGTTTCTGAGAGAATGGCTGCATTTGTCATCTATTCATTGTCTTTTCATCTGTTATATATTGTTAGAAAAATGTGTATATAAAACATCCAGCCATTTGGAAAACTGTGTTATTTAAACATAAGCTGAATATTGTACATCTGAGTTCATGTATTTTTGCTTTTGTCTTGTCTCACATCATCACTGCCTGTGGAAGAGCTCCTCAGAGATGAATCCATATCCTTGAACACTTAAGGTGCACTACTTGTTTCCCCTGCCTTACCCTCTGTGACAAAGGGCACAGATAAATTTTGTTCCATTTACAAGAACTGAGTTCTGCAATTTTGTGATAAAACCAGGACCAAGAGTGGGACCCCCTCGCATGCCCTATTTCAGTAGCAGCTGGAAGTTTGTCCATCCACAAGCATCACTCCAGAGTTCCAGCTGTGAGTTGATACTGGACAGACTTAAAAGTTCCACAGCATTTCTGTCCATGGAAAGCATTCTCAATCCTGCCATTCCATGTGACACAAAAAGGAGAAAATCCAGAATGCTTCAGCCAACACTAATATGTAGCCTAAGTGGCACTGACAATCATAACAAAAGTTTCTTGAATCCTTGAATTTTGTATAGATTTATGAGTTAATTTTGTTACTCCGTGTGGATATTAAGATGACTTTATGCAATGATCAGAGAGACTGTGGATGTTTTAGGCATTTACATCCATGACGCTGAAGGAAGGGAAGGCAGTGATCCCAGCGGTAAGTAATGTGCCAGCTAATGGAAACCTCTGCAGCACACAAAGGAATGGAATTACTCAGCCCCTGCCTACAGTCATCCCCAGTGTCGATACAAGAGCTGTTTACTGCAGGTGACTTCTTTTTCTTCATGCCTCAAAATAAAATGAAAAATTTCAGGTAGAACTCACAGAAGTTAATTTGGATATTCTGGATAAGCTACTTGGAGCATTGTCCTGCTTCACAAGCACTCCTTATAAGCCATACTCTGGCCTGACTTTGAACGCTCACACCCTGTAGCTGTGCAACACAACAATTAGTATATATTTCAGCGTAGGGCCATGTCCCAGAGCCTGTCCACTTACGCACTTACAGCACTTACACGCGTAACTACCAGCTTTATACACTTATTCATGCAGCTTTACATACTTCTTCATGTCGACCCCGTACTGGGAACACGGTTCACACTCTGACGAGAAGTTATCCGTGGAGCCACGGAGCTAATGAGCGTCCCGTGGGCCTCCCGGCAGTCCCGCAGGCGGGAAGGTGACTCCCGCTAGACACTCCCGCTAGACTCTCCCCGCTCCCGGCAGGAGCGCGCCCCCGCCTCCCTCTCCCGCCACCGGCGGGGCTGCCCGCAGTAAAGATGGCGGCAGCGGGCGTTGGCGCTCCGGCCGCGGCGAGGGAAACGCGGAGCGCCGCCCGGCCGCCCTCAGCAAAGATGGCGGAGGAAGGCGCCCGTGTGTGCCAGGCGAGGGTCAGCTCCGTGACGCCTTTAACTTCCGGGTGAGCGCCAGCGGGCGCCATATTGTCTTGTCCGTGAAGACGAGGAGTGATAGCGGGGGCAGAGCGGCCGCGGAGCGGCGGCACCGGCGGCGGCGGGAGGCGGGGGAGCGCGTAAGTAGCGGGGCGGGCTGCTCTCGCCAGCGCTCCCGGGGGACCGGCGGGTGTCGCCGACCTGGTCTTCCCCTTCGCTCCGAGCCAAACCGTGAGGGCGCCGCGCGCCGCGGTGGCGGCGGCAGCAGCAGCTGCTCGCCGGGCATGAGGAACCGGCGGCCCCGACAGCGGAAACCGGCGGCCAGGACGAGAAGGGACGAGCCGAGAGCCGCTCGCCCTCCCCCGCCGCCCGTCCGGGGGGGGGCGCCGCGCCGCGCATGCGCGGCGAGGGCGCGGGGGGGCCGGCGGGGACCCCCGGGACCCCCCCGTCCTGCGCCGACCCCCTTGGCGGGGTCCCGGCGGGGACGGGCCCGGCGGCGGCACTGCGCATGTTCCGGGCCGCCCCGCGCCGCCGCCGCTGCCCCGGCGGGGCGGGAGAGGCCGGAGCCGAGCGCGCGGGCTCGCGGGGCCGGCGATCCCGGGATGCTGGGCGCGCGCAGCCGGCCCGGCGCGCCGGGAGCCGCGGCTGCCGCGGGAGCAGCGGCCGGGGTTCCGCGGGGCAGAGCGGCTGCTTGGCTGAGCCGGTAAGCGAGTTAGGGGAGCAGCGTGTGCGCTGGAATTGGGTAGTGGCTGTGTCAGCAGCCCGACTCCTGCGGGTGAAATGTATGTGTGGGGTATTTGTGCTGTTTCATGGGTTTCGTGAGCGCTCCTGTGAGTTCGTTCCACTGGAGGGCTCCAGAGAACTGAAATTCACACAGCAGCATTTGTAAGATACCTGGACCAGTAGCTTGGCAAAGGCAGGGTATTTTTAAATGGATTCTCAAACAAGTGATGGGTTTGAAAGCCTTTTTGCTTTCAGCACTTATCCCTGCAGTTTCTCTGTACTTCATTAGACAATCCCACAACGTTGTTGAAATGAATTTTAATGGGAAGTGCTAGGCCTTACAGTTAAGGATGGAGACACAAAAGTGGTCCGAGGGCTGGAACCCCTCTTCTGTGAGAGAGCTGGGATTGTTCAGCCTGGAAAAGAGAAGGCTCCAGGGAGAACTTATTGCCACCTTTCAGTACCTAAAGGGTATAAAAGGTACTTTTGAGTATGAAAAAGAAGGTAAAAGACTTGTTACCAGGGCTCTGGATGAGGGACAACAGTTTTAAACTGAAATATAAATTTAGACTGAACATAAGGAAGAATTTTTTTTATTATAAGAGTGGAGAAACTGTAGAACAGGTTTCCCAGAGAAGTTGCACGATTGGAAAGGTCCAAGATCAGGTTGGACAGAACTTTCAGCAACATCATTTCATGCAAGATATTGCGCTAGATGGTCTTCAAAGGTCCCTTCCAACCCAAACCACTGGATAATTCATGATGTGCTACCCCAGCCGAAATTTCCCAAGTTTCTGTAAGAAGTGGTTATGCAGAGTATTCAGCCACCTTGGTTGTTGTTAATTTCTTCTCTTATAGTTAGCACCTGTAAATGTTTTCAAGCCAACAGTCTATTGGAATGTGTGGGATTCAGGAAACAAGGGTTGCCCTAAAGGCTTTATTCTAAAGCAGAGTCAGCCACCTTTCAAACAGGGGGAATGGTGGTCTTCAAAGCACAAAGCATGTCTACCAGCAGACACTGTTCTAACATAATTTTCCGAAGACAGGGTTACAAATACCGGTGCAGCTGAATACCTGTACTGTTGGTAGGAGTAAGAAACCTCTTTTTGGAGTGCAGCTGCCCTAAGGATGGCTCTTATGGGAGTGACAGATGCTGCAGCTCCCCTGGCTGTAGAACAGAGGGGAACTGAAAGTCTCAGCTTTGTCCAGGCACAAGATACTAGGATTGCTGACAGACAAGCTCCTGGTTTTTAATTTGTTTGGTGCAGCAGCAAACCTTGTGTCATCTCTGTTATTATGCCATTACAAGACTTCCTTTGTCCCACATGACATACAGACTCCTGCTCTGATAAGAATGCTTTCTATACTTTGGTCTCAGAGGTGTTGTAGGGCTTAAGTGTCCACAAATTTAGTACAGTTCCACAATTTTTTAGTGATTAACTCACCTTATAAGCTGTAGTGGTAGAGTGGCGTTATAACCATGCTTGATTTTTAGTTAAGTGCATGATTATGTAAAGATTCAATGGGAACAGGAGTGTCCAGCCTCACGTCTTTTCGTGACTGAAGTATGTGGTGTTTCTGTTTTTTGGTGACAAATAATATTTTGGGTAGGTGTTATTAAACTGTTGTTACTTTCATCACTAGCTGATCCCTTATTAAGTGATAACTGTATTTATAATTGAGGTTAATATCTGCTCATGACTAGTGAAGAGTAGTTGTTTATTTAGTTATTGGCACTATTAATTTTGTGCAGAGCAGGTTCATTGCAGAGGTAGTTGCAGATGAACCATTCACTTCAGAAAAAACATAATGCTGAAATAATGCTGTGTTACAGGGCCAATTGAAAATCCTGCATCAGGACTTCCAGCAGAATGATACATGAAAAAATTAATCAGATTGGACTTTTTTTCCCTCCCTCAAACCCAGTGGAGTTTTGACTTAAACCACCTAAGTTATGATAATGTTTCTGTGCTAGTAAATCTTCTAGCAGTGATTTTGGTACTTTATGATAATCAAATAATTTGTTTGTCTTTATGTCTTAGAAATACAAAAAATAAGTAAATGATACCTGAATGCCAATATCTGGTCCTTTTGCTCTTTTAAAAAAGTGTTGTATTCAGCTCAATGGATATGTGGATTTAAGTTTGAAATGGCAGACCTTGGAAGCTGTGCTCCCTGAAGTGAGTGACTCCCTGAGGAAGATTTCACAGTACTTTTTTTTTTTCTTTTTTTTTTTTTTTTTTTAATTTGACCTTTGTTCATGCTGCTTCATCTTGTTAGCATTGTAAATATTAGTCACATGTACTTATTTGTGAACCAGGTTCTGGAAAACCTCATGGATACTGAGCAAGCTGTTTTCATCAGTTCTTTTTGTGGATCTTTTTGTGGATCACATTTGAAAAGCCTGTATTCTTCAGTCTGAGAAAGAACAGTTCTAACGTTAAAAAATGCAGTGGAGCAAATTTTAGTGATACACAGCTATTAGTGAGCTGGAAGATTTTACATGTTTTTTGACTTGTCATCTTGCTAACAGATCCCAGCAGGCACATAGGTATAGCTTCTGAAAGATGCATAGTATCTGGGCATGAAATACCAGGAACAACTTAGGGTGGTGCCCTACATGATACATAGAAGTCTTTGGCCGAGTGAAAGTGTAACGAATGAAACAGAGTAGTAGGCAAGACAGTTACTGTAACTTTTTCTGATTTGGTGCGGACTTAAATCATGCCATAAATATTTGATTTTCTAATCAGCAGCTAAGTATAATATAGTAGTAAATATTAATTCTCCCAGGTAAAATGGAAGCTGGTATGTTTTTGTCTGAGTGATGGTATGCATTTGTTCTGACTCTGAGTGAATGTGTCTGCAGCCACTCTGTAGTAACTTGCAGGCTTCATTCCTCTGTGGGTGCATAGGATACAGCGCTATTCCAGTCTCCCACATCTTTTTAACTGCAGAAGTGTTCTGACTTACCTGGGTCTCCTATGCAAGGACCACCAGCTAATGACAATTCTTGTGACACTCTTTCTGCATTAAATTTTTCTTCTTGGTAGGGGGGCTTCTTTGGGTATGCAAAGCTATTTTACATTTGCAGTTCTTTTCAGTTGGACCCCTTATATACAAATTCTTACAGAAAAGTAACTTTTATTCTAGTGACAGTCATGGAAGAAGCACTCAGTTTATGTTTCCTTCCAGTGGGGAGTACTTTGAAATAGACATCTTTGGAGTTTGTACCGAGTATGTCCATTATTGACTTTGGATTCCAGCTTGGTTGGATATTGATAATACCATGGATGAGCTGCTCTTTCTAATTCCTTGGGAGAACTATGTGAACTGTTGGTGTTGTATTCCTACAACATATAGAGTATTTATCCACTAGTCCTTCCAACTTCATTGGTGATGTCTTTGCAACCATGGCCCTGTTGAAGCAATAGCACAGTGGAAGGAAAGTGAGAGGGAAACAGCTCTGCAGCAACACTTGTTCAGCTTCAACTCTTGGACGTGTTGGCCTTATTCCTGTCCTTCTACTAACTGCTTTGATCCTGGTGTGGTGAATGTAGGATTAGATTTATCCTGCTTGCAACTGAACAGTTCCACAAAATTCATCATGGAAATTCATCATGAGCTTTCACTCAAAGGTGCTAAAACTTCACAGAGTCAATACCAGCTACCTTGAATGAAAGGTAGCTTACCTTAGAATAAGGCATGCATGTGAAAGATCAAGAAATCAGGCTATTGATTTCAAGGAGCTCTGCTCCTGAAACATCTCTGTTTTCCTTTAGGTTCACCTTCAGAGCCTAAATCTATATGAGATAAAGAAACTCTGCCCACAGAGTGTGTGATGCTTTTGAGATCCCTCTCAAGATGTGATGTGGATGACTTCTGTAGGCCAGGTTCTACAAAGAGCATCAGAGACTAATGTGCCTTTGCTGCTTGTATTGTCTTAAACTCACACCGAAAGATTACCTAGCTAACGACACTGACTATTAGATAATGATTTGTTTCAAAACCAGTAATTGCAGTTTGTTACAAACCAGGACTCCTACCTCCTGGGGTCTTTCCCTTTAACTATGTAGACCTAAATATAGTCAAAAAGTAATGGCTGCACTGGCAGGTTACCTTAGAAGATGTGGAACATCTTTCTAGCTGTTTTTGGCTGGGTTTTTTAATGTTTGTTTTTCATTTTTTTGTTTGGTTTTGTTTTTTGCCAAGATACCTGACCTGAGAATGGAGTGCAAAAGAGTTTGTTGTCTTCAAACCCTGGGGTACAAAGACTATCTGTGTAGGAATTCTCTAAGTATGCATGATGGCCTGCTCTTTCAGCTTCCTTATTTAGATGATAGCTATTTCTTTGCTAAATGCAATGCCTTTTTGGAATGCCTGCAAGACAAACCTTTAGTCACTGGAAAAACTTCTGCAGCTGTGTGTTAAGAGTTCAGTTTGCAAGTAAAACTTGTCAGGCCATCTTGTGTCATATGTTGACCTGCTTTTCAGGAATGATAAGTAGCATTATCAGAAAGGTGATGCAACAACATCCCCTCAACATCAGGAAGCTTTTGATTATTTGCTGTGCGCTCTGTAGGTTCCAGAATCATTAGTCTGCCTGTCTATAGGGTTGAATAAACCACACCACCAGACTGTGTCCTGAAGATCAGGTCCAGACTGATGTCTGAGGCAGGAGTTCCTAACCTTGATCTTTTCAGCTCATGATAGAGCAGAAGGTGTGTGCCACTCTCCTTCTAGTGACAGCTTGATTCCTAGGCTGTCGCCTGATTTCTTGGAGTTGAGATGGTCTAGCTTCTAACAAATACTTGATTTCATATTCTGAAGATTACTTTTTTTCTCATTTCGAAGATATTTTACTTTCATTAATTTCCAGGCAAGTCATTGAGAATCTCTGTATCTGCTGCAGAAGCTGTTGAACTGTAAGGTATTCTGCATGGTTAGGATGGTGTGTAACATTGATATTGGGAAGAATCAGATTGTCAGAGTGATGGGAGTTACTTAGAAGGAGCAAGAAAGAGTGTGCAAGATGCAGTTATCAGGGCAGCTTGTTATGGTTAGTTGTCATCCTGATGCTTTTCTGGAGCCGAGCTCATTTCTTCCTGGGTCTCTGTGCTTCTTGTCTTGGACTAGCTGCATGAATTAGAGCAATTCAGTTTATCCATTAGCAGTATTAAATTTTGTTTAGGAACAGATCTTGCTTATTTTTCCAGGGGACCTTTCTTGATATTTTTTATTTCTGCTGCAGCCAATGTCATAAGACATTTAAGGAGGATAGTATCTCTTGGTGACAACCAGGCTTTGTCTTTTGACATTTCCAGGACCGAGCCTTGCTCCGTAAGACTGCTCTTCTCTGGTTTTGAGAGGTCACAGAATTCACAGAATGACTAGGTTAGAAGAGACCTGAAAGACCTTAAAGGGCAGAACACAGTTAGCTCTGCACAAGTGCTGTTGAACTGGTAATGGATTTTATGAGTTTATATTGTAAAACTGCCTAGGTAGGGTTATCCAAGGAACCTGAGTGAGCCTGTTTGTGCTCACGTTCTGTTGGTGGCCTTGTCTAAAAGATGGCCCCATCTTTGTCATCAAGGGCCTTCACTAAGCACTGTGCCATTGGTGAATTCTCAGGAAACCATGCTCTCCTTGACAGGGTATATTCCTGTTGGTGTGGAAATAGTAATTTCATTCAAGATAGCTGTGTTTTTTGGGAAGTGCTTGGGAGAGTCTCCCAGAGTTAAAGATGAGCTTGTGAATTATCACTCAAGACTGTTCAGTGGTAAGTACCTTCTAAATGTGTGCCTTTCAGTGTGTGGTGTGTCTGGACACATCATACAGCTGTGTTGAAAAATACCTTATTAATCTAACAAATATGTTGAAGGAGGTGCCTTTTTTCCCTAAAAGAACAGGTTAACATTGAGGTGTAATTTGTAGTTGACATGCTTGGAGGGGAGGGGAGTGGAAAGGTACCTTTAAAAATCTTTACACAAAGAAAAATTAGTTTAAATACAGTGGTAGAGAGTTTGACACCACATTTAAATGTTTTTGAGTGCTGTTGGCTCTCAGAGGTTGATGATGATCGAGGTAAGTCCTGTCTATGTTGCTGTCTCAGCTTTTATCATCATCAGTGGAGCCCTCACCAGCAGTCCTATCAAGGGTGGCACATTTTCATGCCAGTAATTTGCTTTAATAAAACTTCAGCAGATTCTGGTTCAGCCTTTGAATAGAAATTTATAAAGAAAAAAACCCAACATGTGAAAGAACATATTTCAGAACATGTTTGCTCTTAAGAACTCCAGTAGGATTTTCAGGTATCCTGTGAACTTTCCATAATCTGTTAAATGTGTGTAACTGAAATGTGAGTGTGTTTTGCTCATGTGATTGTGCTTTTGTATAAAACAAAAAGAATCCTGAATTGACTTCTGTTTCTTTATTAGTAAACAGATTTTTAATAGATTCAGGTTCCTGTTCTGTGATCTGACATCAGGGAACAGCTCTTGAAGCATCAATAAATGTTCTTTTGTTTATTTGTGTGTGTGTGCTAGAGAGAGGGAAAGAAAAAAAGGCTATGCCCAATTGGATTGGAGGGTAGAACAGCTAAGTAAAAGAGCCTTAACCCATCATTGTAAAGCAGGGGTAGTATCTGCATTTTCCTTTGTAAGTAGGTGCCTATATAATGGATCCATTCTTTGAACCTGTTGTATGCAGTAGTGATGTCAGAACCAGTATGTCTTAATGACTGCTCAGTTGAGGTACCCCTCTGTTACTAAGTGTCTTGCTAATGTTTGAACTGAGATAATTTTAGCCAGTGTTCATCTGCTTCCCCTCCAACTTTTGTAGAAACTAAAGTTTGTTTCACTGTCATTTGGATGCTCAGCTGTGTCTTTGGGCTTAGTTAACTGGTGGGAAATTGAGCTATCCATTGTATTAGTGAAACCTCTTTCTTTCAGGTAATGCATATTTGGGAACTTGTGAGAAATAAAAACTTGTTAATTATTTGTGTGGCAGCATCCTAAGTTAATGTTGTCAGTGCATATTTTAGTTAGTGGGAGAGGACTTTGAGTATCTTTGCTCCATTATTAATTACTACTTGTGTCTCAGGTTGTTTGTTGTCACATACGTTAGTTCAAGAGGTTCTTTCAAGCTTTTAGGTTACTGGTTTGGTGGGTGAGAGGCATTGTTTGTTGATTTTGGGTTTGTTTCCTCGTCCCCTGCCTTGGTATTGGAGGTGGATCCCTTGCAGTAATTTTAAAATTGCTGCAAACAGGTTACATTTTCTTCATTGTGTTTTGTGAATTCTTTGTAAAGTAGTTTGTGCCCTTTTCTGTTTATGGACTCAGATTCAAAAGTGTTGTTTTGGAAGCTCTCACATCTGGTTTGTTAACTATTGTATGACTTGACTTGATCTGTTTTTATTTTTGACACCTTTAAAATATCACTAGGAAGGCAACTGTCAGTGATGTCTGACAGGACAATCCTGGGATTCTGTTGAAAAGTCCTTGCATACTCAGTAAAGTTTCACAAGCAGAATACAAAGTTACATTGCCTTTATTTAAAATAAAGTAACATCAAACAACATAAGTGCTTATTTTAGACAACTGCAAATGAACAGCTAAAACCAGGTTGGGGTTTGCCTCTAACTTAAAAGCAGATGGAATTATTAGACACTGCAGTGCTTAGCAAAACAGTTTATGAAGACAATGAACCATATTTAAATGCCTGTAGCCTCCCTGCAGTAGATAAAAAAAATATATCAAGTACCTTTTTCATGTTTACCTTGTACCAGCTGGTGAAAAGTTGGAGAAAATGCCGGAAAATAAGCGGAGAACTAAAAAGCAGGGGAGTCTGTTTCCCGGAAAATTATGATGTCCTGGTGTTCCAGGTCGCCATAAAGAGAGAGGTGCTAGAACTAACATCTTCCGTTCAATGGCTCTGAGCCACCACTTTTAGTCTTCAATATTAAAAATTTTGAATACATGACCTTCTCTTTTAGCCCGTATATGTTAAGATTATTTCTATAAACATTTTAAGGTGTGAATTTTATTCCTTCCATATCCAATTCCTGTTTCTGTAAAGCAAACATTGCTCAATAAGGAAGATATGTTGAAATAAACAAAAAATAGTTTGGGACAGTTTTCACATCATATTTGGAAAAGGGGTTCTGCATGTAAGATTGCATAAAAAAAGTTATGTCATTGCTTAAGTGTTTGTGTAGTACATATTTCTGATTTGTAAAGAATGTTTTTACACTGATTTTGGTAATAAATCTGTGTACTTAAAGCCAGCATATTTTATAGTTACCAACCTATGAAAATCAACATTTCTTCAGGAAAACTGTAGAAGTACAAATGCAATACAGAATTAAAACCTTTCAAATACAGTTCACAAACTAAAATTAGCTGTTTCAAATAGCAGTGATTTTAAATTAGCTTGCTCTGAGTGGCATAAATTGAATTAGTCAAATGTTGACATTCTTCATGGTTTTACACTGTTGTTGCTGTCTTGTCATAATGTTGTGCATCAAAATAGAACCCAGCTCCATGCCTTGACCTATTGCTTTGCACTTCCCCACCTGATTTCTCTCCCCAGAATAGAAGTACTAAGGTGAAATAATCTCTCTAGGGCAAGTTGAAGACTGGGCCATATTATGTTGCAGAGCAGTGGATCAGCAGCTATCTATGCTAACAACTAAAACCCAACTGTGCTTTTTATTCTGGCTTTGCAGCCAGCTGGCACTGAGAGAAAGCCTGTGACCTTCCAAATTAGACTGGACACATGTTAACTGCCTGTGGGGTCCCAGGTCCATGCACACACCCAGACAGTGCGAGGTGGCCTGGGACAGTGCTGTTCTCTAATGGGGAGGCGGTGGATTCGTTCAGCACCCCTCCTTTAGGAGTGTGGACTTGGCCTCAGTGTCCTAGGGGTAATAACTTGCAGATGGAGCAGCCAGGAGGTGAATGAATGCTGCTGCTGTCTGAGGTCGCTGCCTGTCCGCTTTATCCCTTGGTCACCGTTTCAGATGCCACTTGGTACAGGGCTGCAAGGCAATATATCTTTCCCACAAGATTTATTTGAATACCCTGTAAAATAATAAGGCAGTTACTGTCTTGAGGGCAGGTTTTACTGAGATGTAGAGACATTTGTTGTCTTAGACCTTATTAATGATCTAAACAAGTGCTTCAGTTTGTCCATAGTGAGGATCAAGGCCTGAGAGTAAAGAAAAAAAATTGGCCAGAATACTAAGTGTCCATTTCAATTGAAAAGTAAATATATAATTGTGTTAGTTGGAACATGTTTAAAAAAATCTGTAATACTGAAGATTTTAGGACAGAGATAGAACAAGTCTGGTAAAAATAAATCTCATCTAATCCTACCACATAAAGGCTCTGTGTAGGAGGTTCCAATTTAGTTGCAGTTTTACAAGTGGTCTTAATATTGTTACACTTTAATGAGAGAAATTGGTATTTAACTGTGTAATTTTTTTTTTTGTTCAGTTATATGCAAAGCGGTCTTATAAGTTATTAGTGAAAAAAACTAAACCTTTTGCTGAGTTTGAATGTAATTCCACAAACTTGTTGCAACATACTATATATTGAGGTAAAGAAATGCTACCAGAATTAGTGAAATCCATGTTTATTATTGCTAGTGGGACTTAGCAGCTGGAAACAAAAGGAGCAGCGCCATGAGGCTGTGCACTGTAGTGGCAGCCTGAAACTTCTTATAACTTTTAATATGTAAACAAATTTATTTTGACATTTGAAAGAATCTTTATTCTGGATGGAAAGATGAACTGAGGGAACAAGAAACATTTACTTACCTTTTTCTTTAGGATGAAAATGGTATTTGCAGTTGCTTCCTCATGTCTATAAAACGTGTATAAAACGTGTCTATGAATACCTGGAGAGTTAGTTTAAGGGGTCAGCTAAAATGTTGCATTAAGTGCATTAGTAGCCATCCATACACTCAGCTGGTATAAAAAAGTTAATTTCCTAGGTACAGATAAAAATGTGAAAAGAAAGGGACAAGATAAAGGGCGGTGTCTTCACTTATTAAAGGTTTGAATAGCATAAAAGTGTTAATGAAATGGGAAAAAGCCTCCATAATTAGTTTGGCAAGAAAAGATAGTGAAAATAATAATGTATTAGATAGGTTTTGCCCCTGTTGCCAAAGTTGATCTGGTCTTGTTTAAAGCCCTCTCAAAATGAGACTGAGTGTTTCAGAGCCACAGGTGTAATTTTTGTACAGTGTTGACAGTAAGTAGTCTCAAAACAAAGGCAATCTGCAGTTTTTCAGATAAAGGATTTCATTTGACAGAAGTATGCAAAATACAAGTTTGTGTTCATCTCTGCATGTCCCAGTGCCCCTGATATTTAGTGCAGCTCTTTGTGTGGTGCACTTTTGTAGAGCGATGCTCTCTGCCTATGCAGTCATGCAGTCTCTTGTGTGAGCGGGTGAGCACAAGGTGCCTTTGCCAGTAGGTTCCACTCCAGTAGCTCGGTCCGTGTGCTGAGAGCGGGCTCGAGGGGTGGGGTGTGTGTGTCCCACTCCCTCAGAGCCACTGAGGCTGCTCCTGGCAGGCCACCCAAGTGACACTGGCTGCTTTGAACTGGTTTGCTCTGAAGCAGGGAGGCTCTATTCATCTATTCTGTATTGCACTTGGCTCTGAGCCACAACTGGGTCCTGTATGCTGCTCCTGTGACCTCAGGGAATGAATTTTTCTCTTTTAGGTTTGAAGCATTTGAAACAGCCTACTTAATGTTTTAATAGCGTGAACTCGGGGATTGCATGTTAAATTCCGTAAGGATATATTCATTGAGTGGAAAGCCTGTTGAGTTCTTAACAGATTGGGTAGAGCAAAGGGGGTTGCACTCAGTGCATTCCTCCCATACTGGTTTTTGGGAACTGCTTCTGGAGTGAAGTGTTCCCAGAACTGTGCCTAGACTTTGTCGTTGGAGAAGCTGTTTGGAGCAGTGCAGGTGGCTGCTCTCAGGTCTTCCATGTGTAGCAGGTTAGGTGTGTGCAGAGGTACAAATAACTGGAAGGAACTGATGTGCCATTGCGGGCACACCTGCCTGGACTGCTGTGCCTCATCAAATTCACACAGAGCTGGCCCTGGAGCTTCACTGTAAGCAGGCTGTGGAGCTCTGCTGTCTGCCATCTGGAGCTAGGGCTGCTGCTGCCTGCTCAGTGAGGATGTATATATACGGCACAGCAAAAATTGTTTCTTATGATTTTAAGGGACTGTGGTAATTGTATGGTCATATTTATTTTTCTTTCTCAGATTTGAAGGTATATATATAGAAATTAAAAAGAGTCTGTACAATGCATAACATGCATGCGGGCACTGTCTTGTACCTGTGCAGTTTTCTGTGCAATCATTAACAATGTGTTTTACCATTTGGTGACTTTGTCTTGCTTAACAGCCTTGCATGACACTTGTTTGGAGAAATACACATCTTTTCCCTAAGAAGCAGGCAAAGATACCAATCATGCCTCTTATATTTTGACTTGCTTTAAATTGCGTTTATTGCCAGGTGAGATCTTGTACAAACTTGTCATATCTCTCCTTGAACATCATTTGGTAGTTAATTTCTTTGTGAAAATACAGAGAAAGCATACTAGACTCCTGAAATCTTACAGTAATATTTCAGATATTACTCCAAAGGATGAACCATTTCCTCCAGCTTAAAATATTAAGCCAGCATTGCTTCAGCTTGCGTTGCAAGGCTTAACTATATCTGCAGTTATGTAAGTTTCAGTTATGTGATATTTCATGGGCATCTATTTAAACATACAACTATTATTTTTAGTTGAAATATAGACTGTATAAAGACTTAAAAGATGTGGGATCAAGGTGGACAACCTTGGCAGCAATGGCCTTTGAACCAACAGCAGTGGATGCAGTCATTTCAGCACCAGCAAGATCCAAGTAAGTATATAGAAAGCTTTGTGGATTAATTCTTTTAATGTGTTGTCATTTAAATTTTTGAATCTTCGTAGCAGAGTATGACTCACAGTTGCCTTTGTAGCTGCTCTCAAGATAATACATTTATGATGCTTTTCTGAACTAGAAAACATACAAAGGTTCCAAATGTTTTCACATAGTTAATGTATAATATGCAAATACAGGCAAGAAACCTGAGTTACCCTACACAATTTACCAACAATTTACCAGTCATACAGATCAACATTTAGACCTCTGTTCACAGTTATGTATCCCTGTCAGTTCCTTAGCCAAGCTAAATCATTTGTTGGACAGAATCTGTTTTTTTATTCAGTACCTGTGTGGCAGAAGTATTAATGCAGATTATATATAGAGTAAAAAAACCTCACTGAAAAACTAAAACGGTTCTTGATTTAGGTTACAGCAGTGATAATCATGATCTCTAGTTTGAAATTTTTTTCTCCACCAAAACCACCAAGTGCTTTAAAGAGTAGAACATAACATACCTTAAGTTGAGAATGAGATAGCAACAATTCAAAACATCAAGAGAAATAGAGAAATGGATGAAAGTGCAGGTGTGTATTTAATACTAAGGCAAAGTGGTCAGGCACACAGGTTTTACTGTCACTTTATTTTCTGTTAAATTCACTGGAGAGTTTTCCTAATTTGATAATAAGCAGAAGACATACTAGTGTTCTTATCTGAGACTGCAATTTATTTATTTACTGATAGGAAGGGCAGTAAAGAAAAAAAAATGGGAGAGAGAACTGTAACATAATATATGGCAAGGGATATACGAAGAGGGTACATTGAAGAGTAGTTTTCTAACTATGTATCTTTTTTACTCTCAAATCTTCATGAATTTAGAATATAAGGATATATATATTAATTTCTGATGTTAAAATTAGCTTGCATATGAAAAAAGTGCATTACTACCATCCATTCAATGCTAATGTGAATGTAAAATAATCTGCCTTGTGACATTTTGAACATATGCGGAGAAACTGTACTTCAGCAAGTCTGTACACTGACATTTGCTTTGTTTCTTTTACTATACACTGAATAAGTCTAAATGGTGCTCACAGTACTTGCTGAAGGTAAATGTTGCCCATTTATCTTGAACAATAAGACATGTAATTGAGAAACAGTGCTGAACTTCAGATGCGTGAGTTCTAACCTTTTTAACTTCCTCTGTTTATTTTAGGCCAGATTGACTGGGCTGCATTAGCTCAAGCATGGATTGCTCAGCGAGAAGCCTCAGGGCAACAGAATGTAGTGGAACAACAAGGAATGATGCCAAACGGACAGGACATTTCAGGAATAGAATCTGGTCCAAACAACCATAATAATTTTCAGGGGGATCCCAATTTCAACAGAATGTGGCAGCCAGGTTTGTTTCCCTTCCAGTTCATTCCTTTTTTTCATGTTTCTTCATTTTATTCTTGTCAGATATTTTTTTGGTGTGAACATGCCCTGTCCCTCAGGCTTCAAAATGCAAAACTACCAGTTAACTTACTAATCACAGCTCCTACTTAGAGGGCTACTGTTGCCTCCTGTAGTGTAATGCCTGCTTCTGGCATGATCTTGACATACAGAATGAGTTCACAGTAAAATTGATGCTGGCTTTAGATGTCCTAAAATCTTTAAAAAGGAAGATCAGCGAAATTCCGTGAAAAATATGGTATAAGTGCATTTCATATACTTAGGATTTACCCCTTTTAACTTAGGTATCTGATTGTCAGCATTTTTCAGTCATTATAAGCTCAAGTTGATTGGACGCTTCTGTTAGTATAGATTATTTTCTGTATTTTTTAACTTCCTCCAAACCTTATTTTTTCCCAAAAGTTAGTTTTCTTTTTAAAACTTCACAAGATACCACTGGTAATAAGAATGGGATAGAAATGGGTTATTTTATGCTAAGAATTTTTCTGAAATTGTTTTCTGAAAGCTAGGTTATACTGTAATGCAATTTGAAGTGTATAAGCAAGATAGTAAGCCTATGTGCTTGTCTTCAGTTGTTTTGGGGAAAACTGCTCTTCATGCTTGATTCTATTAATGGTTGAAAGAATAACACTCCCAGTTTTCACTGTCACTATCCAAATTTATTGAAATGCAACATTTAATATAAATAGGTTTAATATGTTATTGATAGTTCTTACATGTGCGTAATAAAAATGAGGTAGCCATCAGGTTTCACCTACCTGCACTAGCCTACAAGTTATTGTAGGCACATGTAAGTATTTTAAAGTTTTCTATGTGGCAGAGTGTATTCTAGCTGTATTTCTGTACAGTAAGTAGAAATTTTCACAGAAATAAAAAAGCTATAATAACACTTTTTAGTTGCTGCAGTAATAGATCCAATTATGATGCAGATGGGAAGGACAGTAAAAATTAGAAAAATGTACTAAAGGACTGGATGGAAGATAGAAATTAACCTGAGAGGCTAGATACTAATTCTATTACTGGTGAGAGTTATAAGGCAGCTCTTTCATGGTCTATGAGTATCTGTATAGTGCACATAATTTTTGTCTTTTTAAGGAGTCAGTCAGAAATTATGGCCACATGAGCTATTAATTCATTCCTTAGACCCTTTTCACTCTGTTAGCCAATTGTAACGTATGTTTGAGGGCTTGTGACTACAGCTTATTCTAGGACCTGTGCTAGATATTGGGCAATCCAAGAAATCATCCATTATCAGGACTCAAGACTTGGGAGCACAGGTTTCAGTGACTGTGCTGCTTACAACACCATTTTCTTTCCATAGTAGGTATTTCAAATCTATTATGTGACACAGTAAAATAGCTCCTTGCTTTCAAAACTGATGCAGAGAAATAGGAACAGTTTTTTTAACAGTCTAAGCAATTTGTAAGTCTTCTGGTGAACTCACTAGCACTAGAAATATATAAAAACAAATTTACAGGATGTATGTGCCTGTCCAAATCTATCCCCCTACTGCATGTGTCAGTTCAGCTATAGCTATTTGTATTCCCTTTGTTTAGTTGAAGAAATTATTGAGACAGTATAATACAGTCTGCAGATTGATGATTCTTTCTTGCTTTATCATCTGTAGTGCTTTGGGGAACCTTGTGATAAAGACAAGAACACTGAGTGATTCGTGACTCATATAAATTATACTAACTTGGTATCAAATTGTATTGTATTCCTAAACAGAATGGGGAATGCCTCACCAACCCCCTCACCCACCTCCAGATCAGCAGTGGATGACTCCAACCCCAGGTCAAATGGAAATTGTTCCTCCGTCGGAAGACAGCAACAGTCAGGACAGTGGGGAATTTACTCCTGACAACAGGCATATGTTTAACCAGAACAATCACAACTTTGGGGGACCTCCTGATAACTTTGCAATGGGGCCAGTGAACCAGTTTGACTATCAGGTGAAACATATTTGTTGCTTTAATATTGTAGGCGCGCAGAGTCCCTTCCATGGATGTGTTCCTCTAATATCATCTAGCAGCGACTTTCATTCTTCAGTTCTACAAACATCTACAGAATCTTTATCTGCTAAGATACATTTTAACCAAACACTTGACAGAAGATACTTTAAAGTTCTCTGTTCTGTTCAGAGGCCAAAGGGTTTTATTTTTCTGCAGTATTAATGAGAAATGGCTGTTGTCTGCAATATTAAAATGAATCACTGTGTTCCAGTATATAAATTAACATTATGTAGCTTTGTGTTAAAAAAAAAAAAAGAGGAGAAGGAAAAAAAAATTCAGAAAGATATGCTTAACTACACTAGATAATGTACCCCAGGAAACAGTCCTGTATTTGCAGGGAGATAGACTGGATGGTCCATTGATCTTTTCCATATCTATCTACTGTGATTCTTTGAATAAACAATGGTATTTCTAAAAAAAATAAATCCATATCCACTTTTTTCTTCATTCTGGCATATAAGTTGTATAGTATAATAAACATGTAGGTGGTTTTATCACTAATAATAGTAGGGTCCATTGCACAGACCTTTAAACACAAAGAAGTTTTGTATCTTTCCTCTATTTTCATTATTTTTCTTTCAGAACTCCTGATATAAATGACAAACTAGCTGTCTAAAACCTACCTCCTGTTCATAAACAAATACAAGGGAAGATGGGCAGAAATTTTTTTGTTACCTTCTTGGCTATTTTTTATCTTCTTGATTATTTTTCCTCTTACAATTCTCTTGTTCAATAGTATTGTTAAATAGAGATCCAATAATTTTCCAATACATAAGTTTATTATAATTTTTGTTTATTGTCATGGGACAAACTCTTAAAATTAGCTTCTCTAAATATTACAGAAAACTTATTTTGCATTGAATGAAAGAAAGATGCTTAACCTGAAATTGTAGTGGAGAATGCTTTAGTGCTATCCACTTAAATATTCAGTAGAATATTTGATACTATACCCTTTTTCCTGAACACTCTTCTTAAATAGTTTTATTTAGCATTTCTGGATGGTAAATATTAAAATAAAAAACTCCTCATATATGCCTCAGGACTTATGACTTTTGGATTGTATACAGATTGTCCAGAACCCTGTATCTGTACTAAAATTGCATATTTATGCATTTAATATTTTAATCAGCCATATTAATAAGATCTGTAAAAAATTACTGGAAAGTGCACAGTGCAAAATTCTTATGTAATAAAAGGCTGAACTTTAAATTTTTGTTCTCAAGCTGTAGTTAAAAGACTGCTAACATAGCTAGACATTTAAATCTTAGTTTTGTACATTCTTTATTTAACTGCACACTCTGATGCTAAGTTGGCATGGAACTGTTTGAGATAGTGATTATAGAGCTTAGTGTTTAGCATAATATAAAAGGAGATTGGTTGAAGACCTTTCAGGTTTATTAAGTATCCCTGCTTAAGTCTAAGTTTAGTCATTAAATATTTAAAGGAAACTTGTTTCTTGGGGACCACAGTAAAAGAGAGTGAGAGATCTCAGTAGCATAGAAATCATGGATTCCTACTTGCATGGATTTTTGTAGACCAACTTGTTCACATGCTGCATGTAGTGTTACCATGTGAAGAAAAATAAACTGCATTACTCTTTCAGCATGGGGCTGCTTTTGGTCCACCTCAAGGTGGATTTCACCCACCTTATTGGCAGCCAGGACCACCAGGGCCACCAGGTCCTCCAGCACCTCCCGCACCTACTCAGAATCGAAGGGAAAGACCCTCATTCAGAGATCGACAGCGTTCACCTATTGCGATGCCTGTGAAGCAGGAGCCTCCCCAGATTGGTACATGTTAACCACTCTTTAATGAAAAAATGTAAAAGCTGTATTTTATAAAGAATTGCAAAATTTGAAGACCTTTTTCTTTTTCATAGAAAATAAAAGAGCAGGGAAAGTAAAAGCCCTTACGAATGTTTTTTCCCCACAATCAGATGTAGGACTTGTTTTGATGGGGGTGGGGGAATCTACTTCTTTGTTTTGGGGGATATTTTTATTCTTTTTTGTGGGGGGGAAGGTTTTTCATCTCGCAAAACTGTAAACCTTGATTATGTAGATGCTGTGAAGCGTAGAACTCTGCCTGCCTGGATTCGTGAGGGCCTGGAAAAGATGGAAAGAGAAAAACAGAAAAAATTGGAGAAAGAGAGAATGGAGCAGCAGCGTTCACAGATGTCTAAAAAAGAGAAAAAGGAAAGTGAGGAGGCGGAAGAAGGGGATGGCCCACGGTTACCTCAGAGAAGTAAATTTGTAAGTAGAAGAGATTGTTTTTTGCTCAGGTTTGTATTTCCTGAAAGGTATCAAGTTTTTAGTCTGTTCAAAGTAGAGAGTCTGTGTTCCCGGTTCCCTCATTGGTTTTGTTGTTTAAAATAAAGTTAAGCTGCTGCTCTTTTGATAATTATTTGATATTTTGAAGTTTTTGATGGCTAAGATGTAGAAGTATATAATTCAATCTGTAGTAGCAAAGAAACAAGGATGAAATTGGACTTGTTTTTTCTTTTTTTTCCTTTTGGAACGTACAGAGCCTTTCAAAGTCAGAATTCCAAGTCAGCAGCTGAAAAAAATTAATATACCTGTATTTACTAAACTTAGCCAGTTTAGGAAACCTTGCATTGCCTTTATTTTAGCAGTTATCTTTTTTGTAGTCCAAAGTATGTGTCTTGCAGGGAACTGACAACTGAGTATTTTCTTAGCTTTTGTGGGTACGTGCACTTACATATTTTTAGGAAGGGAGAAAATAAATTATTGTATGATAACGTGTAATACAGATTTCAGTACAAAGTAAATGAAGCAGACTATTAAAAATAGAAACTAAGGAGCTTGATAAGTTTTTCCTGAAGTGTATGATGCTTTTCTTGTAGGACAGTGATGAGGAAGATGAAGATGCTGAAAACACAGAAGCTGTAAGTGTTGGGAAAATCAGCAGGAGTCCATCCCCAGCTCCTCAAGAGGAGCAAAGTGAACCAGAAATGACAGAAGAAGAAAAGGAGTATCAAATGGTATTAATAATGTGGTTCTTACTAAGTATTTCTGTTTAATTGCCCATACTCTTCAGGCATATCAAAGTAAATCATTTTTTCTATGTCTGATACTGTCAACAGAGGCAGAATATGCATTGTACAGTAAAGCAGGGTTATATTTGCATCTGTTTATAATGCTATCTTTCTCATAGAAACAAGGATATCAGTTATATAACTCGTATTTAGCACAATAGGGAAAGAGTAATGACTGTAATCTTTGCATTGATCTTCATTAATTCTATGGTTTTGCTTCACTTATCAAATTTCTGAAAACTTCTACTGATTACATTTCACCCATTTCAAATCTGTGCTTCAGCCTCACTTCCTGTGAAAGGGAATTTAAGAAATGTATTCTTGCAACAAAGTGCTACAGCCCTAAATCCTATATCACCAACAGTTTCATTGTGTCTGCACAACCTTCATACTTGTGAATCCTTGTTAATTAAGGCCCTGAATTCTACTAAGTTTGATGAGTATATTTTTGTAGAGCATTTGGTCAGACAAAAGTAACTTGGAGAACTAGCTACTGCCATTTCAGTTTTTGTAGAAAATATGTGATAATAAAATGCTATATAAGTAACCTCTGATGATCTTTACAGAGAGCATACCTGTCAGAAAACTGCTCTTTTTTTTGAAAGAATAATTGGAATCAGTCTAAGTACGTTTCTGATTTACATATTCATTTGTTATCCAGGGCACTGATCTTAATGTCTAAGATGATAGAGCTATGTGCAATACATGCAGATACAATTCACAGTCAAAATACTAACTTTAAAGTTGTGAAATCAGGTCACATTTAAACAGCTTCAATATTTTTTGGTTTTTTAGTCATGTCTTCTGAAAGAAGTTATTAAATAAAATGTGCAGGAGACAACTTTCCTAGTCATCAAAAGAAGTGAAGCTATATGGATATAATTTGAATTTATTCAAGATGTTTTGGACTTTAATTTTATATGCAATTTTCTTCAGATGATGCTGACAAAAATGCTGCTGACAGAGATTCTCTTAGATGTCACAAATGAAGAAATCTATTACGTGGCCAAAGATGTTCACCGTAAAGCAACTAAAGGTATGCCGGGTTTGGGAGGTTTTTATTCTTTTTAGTTTCTTCTGCGAAAATTCTGTATTTGCATGTCTTTAGAACATTTAACCTCCATAGTTCTCACTCAAGAACAATTCCAATATAATGCATCCAACTTGGTAGAGTTCAAATCCAGTAACCATGTACTGTTGTCCTGTGCAGTGTATTGTGAGTTACTTGAGTTATTCCATTTTTTTCATACAATTCATTTCAGTTAAAATGGTACCTGTGTCAATGGCTCTTGGGTTGTAGCTGTTCCTTACTACTATCATCTTTATCTCAAAGCTGTTCAGAAGTGAAAAGAGATGAACTTTGAGTCCTCAATTAGTAATTAATTTGCTTTTGCTATTAACATGTATTGTACTTACAGAACAAATTATTTTAACATAACAGAGTTAATCTAAATATGTAACTACAGAAGTTGAAAATTATGTGCAGGTGCTGTAACTTGGAAAGTGATTTATGAGTATATATTTGGGTTTTTTCTGTTCAGTGTAATTTTGAAGTTAAATTCTAAATCTTCATGGTCAGAAAATCTAGAAGTGGTTTTAAATGGATGATGCGTTTTTAATGTTTCTTCTCTCCCTCCAAAGAACAGCAATAGTAGTAGATTTAACAATACCATAGACTCATGACTATGAAATCGTGGCTATTTGTGTTAACATGTTGTTCCTGTTGTTGATGTGATACAAAGCTCCTGCAAAACAGCTGGCACAGTCCAGTGCACTGGCTTCCCTCACTGGACTCGGTAAGTATGTTCCTTATTTTTGAAAGGGCTTAAAGGGGGAGTTTCACTTTTGCCTTGCCTTTCTAGAAATTGCATTTTGAAACTAGATTTTAATTGCCTGGAAGTATGGGTCACTTTCTGATAACTTTATCATTATCAGCACCTTTGTTTGTTCCACAGGTGGTCCTACTGATATATAAGTGGGATAGTTGCTGGAGTAAAGGACTAGGCAGTGTGATTTAGTGTATGAGAATCTTACCCTAATTTTGAAAATACATAAAAATTTTAGACAGATTTACATGTCAAAGTATGATAGTTTCAGAAGCACACTGCAGCCTTCAAAGAAAGGAATACGGTTTCATACTTTTCTTCTGTTTTGATCCGTATGAACCAGAGGGGAAAGTTGATAGAAGAGTAATAAGAAAAAATATTGTAATCTTTGTAATTATTATTTTATTGAAAAGCTACATAAACACAAAGGCTCCCATATCATATACTGCCAGAAACAACACAGGAGAGAGAGATTGAAATTCCAGCCTTGGGACACAACTGCAAGAGGTTTCTCCCAACATGACTTTTATCATCTAAAATGTACTACAGCAGTGTCAGTGATCAGTTATGTGTTCATTACATGGAATATTGACAAATTAGATTGAATGTTATCATCACAAGTATTCATGTTTCAAAACTAACTCAGTAAAGATCCTAAGGACCTGAGACTGAAAGAAATCCATGTAAGATGTTTAAACTGACTTTGTCTTTACCAGTCCAGTACTTAAAAATATCTCTGGGGGAGAAGAAAGTCTGTTTTTATTCCATCTCCATACCTGTCAAAGTGCAGAGTTTTCTAAATCATATGGAAAAATTGATATGGCATTCAGAATTTCTGTAGCCTTGGACTATGGAGGCAGCTGAAGTCATTTCAGAGATGTCTTCTGGGAAAGATCCCAGGCATTTTCTGTCCCGTTGCTGATACAGAGGCAGGCACTGTTACAGTCTCCACAGGGAGCTTTTTTGCCTTTCCATACAATGGAAAAAAGTACCATGGTCACAGTGATTGCTTGCTGAGAATAAACAAGCTGTTCCAGAAGGAGTAGAAGCAGACAGTGACTATCAAAGCAGATACGGGGGCCTTGAACACACTGGCAAACAACACTGGCACTTACCAGAATAAAGTGACTTCTTCAGAGCCGAGGAAGTGAAGGAAGGGCAATGTTACTTCCTCTTTGCCTCACAGAAGTATTAAGAACAAAGCTTAATCTTTCCTCGTGATAGACTGGACTTTATGCACGCAGGTGGACTGGGTGGTTATGGATCAGGAGACAGTGAAGATGAGAGGAGTGACAGAGGCTCTGAATCATCTGATACTGATGATGAGGAATTACGACACAGAATAAGGCAAAAACAGGAAGCGTTTTGGAGGAAAGAGAGAGAACAACAACTACTACTAGAAAAACAGCTAGAAGGTAAATCCTGTGAAGTCTTCTTACTGTGCCACTGTAAATGGAGTTGACTACTTAGTGTTTGTAAATTGATGGCAAAGAAACACATTTTAAGCAAAAAAATATGAAACTAAATTTATAAATAATGTTTTTTTAATTCACATTTAAAAAACCCAAAACCCTGTGATTTACTTCTGCTTCTCGATACAAGGTAAGGTTTGTCCTTTTGTACAAATAGTGTAGGCCAAAATGGTAGCACAGACATCTCCCAGTGCTGAAGATCTGTCTAGAGATAGATGCAATGTTAAGAAATTGTGAACCAGGTTCACAGGCTGGAGGAGAAAGTGCTATTATGATAGAACTTCAAATTGATGGTTTCTTCCTTTAACTTTTTATTTAAAGTCCTGAAAATAAGAAATATGGAGCCCTTAATGAAAGGCTGGACTAGCTAAACTTTTGGTTTTCTAAATAGTCCTCTCTCTTTGAGTGTTTAAAGATGTATGCATAAAAGCATAGCTATATGGAGAGTGTCTGAGTGTGGCCTGTGACCTCTCTTCCTAGTGCAGGAAGCCAGATGTCAGTGTGGAGACATCTTCATGGGACCATTTGCAGAAATACAAAACTAGGGTGTAAAGCAGCTGATTCTGTACATCCAAAATACTGAAGAATGAATGCTAGAGCAGAGTCTCATTTGTAGCAGTGTTTTGGAAAGGCAGAAGATTTCTAATGGACAATACAGCATCTTCTAACATAGACTGGTTTCTTCCTGTATTGCCTAATAACTCAGGGACCAGCTGGAATTGTTTTCTGGGTTAAATTTATTAGCTGCCATTTGGACCACTCTGGGTTTCCAGATGCAGTTTTATTCCCTAAATTAATTCAGGAAATGATGGCATGTGGGACTCAGATTCAGTCAAAGAAAAGAAACTGAGAGTTTCTAGCCAGGCAGATGCCTGGGATAGAGCTGGAGAGAATGTAAATAATTCTTTATCTCTCTTGTTTTTCACATTGTTTATAGTTAAGTTCTATCACTGTGCGTCAAGCACTTTGCACCAATGGTGTGGGTTGTTTTCACTTCAGAGCCAATGGATTTGGCCTTTGGGAAGCTCTGTATAAAAGAGCATTGTATTTTGAATAAATCGGAGTTTTACTCTCAGCAGCCTTCTGAGTGAGTCTTCTCATTCCCGTCCTGCCTCGACAGTGACAATGGCCCACATCAAAAGGCCATTTTTAGGCAAAAAATGTATGTCAGTTATTTTTTCTGGATTAAATTTTAAATGGGGAGATAAAGTTGGCAGTGATGCAAAGAATCCTAGGTTGAATAAAAATAATTTTTATTTTGGAAACCTCTGGGAAATGCTCTGAAGGTCTCACTATGTGAGAAATACAGTTTCTTCAGACCTGATGGTAATCCTCAAACCCAGATGAATGGGGCTCAGAGAAAGGCAGGAAGCATTAGTACTTCCTGCTATACTGATGAGGAGTCTTGTAGGAAGGAGAAAGGGAGAATCAGGTGTGCAGAAAGGTTGCAAAAGGAAAAAAATCGTGTGTGTAGATCAGTTTGGGAGTTCTAGTGTTCCAGGATATTTGTTTTAGAACTTCATCTTGAGCCACTAAAACATGAAATAACCTCAAGACTTCTAAAATGACTGGGTTCTACACTTTTTCTAAACTACGAGGACAACTTTTCTAGAATTATAAGAAAAAAAAGTAGTTTGTTAAGTAGTTGGTATAGTGGCAATGTTTTAATTTTAAGGATTATGAGAGGTGCTTGGAAACTTGGTTTTGTCATTGTAATGGTGTGGAAATTACTGACATATTGCTCCAAATTAATTGCAATTTTTTTTCTGTGTACTTCTTTTTTTTTCAGAAGAAAAGCTACAAAATGAAAAAGTTTCAAAAGAGATGAATGAATTTATCAACAAAGAACAGAATAGTATCTTAGCATCACAGGAGGCAAAAGAAATTGAAGCAGATATGGTTCATGAAAAGAAGAGATCTCCAAATGCAATCACACCTGATGTAGAACTCAAGAAAGAGGGTAAAGAGAGGACAGGAAGGAGTGGGTCAAGAAGCTCTAGCAGTGGTAGCAGCAGCAGCAATAGCAGGAGCAGCAGCAGCAGCAGCACAGTATCCAGTTCATCATATAGCACTAGCTCAGGTAGTAGTCGCAGCACTTCACGTTCTTCCTCTCCCAAAAGGAAGAAGAGACACAGCCGCAGTAGGACACCATCACATAAAGTTAGGCGCAGTAGAAGCAGGAGTTACTCCCACAGAAACAGGAGAGAGAGGAGTAGGAGCAGGGAGAAAATAAGGGAAAGGAGAAGATCTAGTAGAAATCACAGTGCTGAAAGGGGGGAGAGGCGGAGAAATCGGAGTCCTTCAAGAGAGAGAAGTTGGGATAGACGTAGAAGCGGCAGCCGCTCAAGAGACCGGCGAGCCAACCGTGCAAGCCGCAGCAGGAGCAGAGACAGACGTAAAGCTGAAGACCAGCGTAGAAGCCCTACTGGAAATAGGCACAAACATAAAAGTGAGGGTAAAGATCAAGAAAGGAAAAAGGAGCAGGGTGGAGGTGTAGATAAAGACAAAAAAAAGAACAGAGAAAGGGAGAGAGATCAGGAAAAAAGAAAAGATAAGCCCAAAAAAGAGGAAAAAGAAAGTAAGACTGGCAATCATGATGACAGTAGATTAAAAAGAAAAAGAGACAGTGAAAGAACTTTCTCTCGCAGTGATTCAATATGTGTGAAAATAATAAGACAGGATTCCAAACAAGAAAGTAAAAAAATTACTACCAAAGATAGCAAAAAACGATCAGGCTCTGAATCTAGTGCAAGGAGTAGTTCTGAATCTCCAGGAAGCAGTAAAGAAAAGAAGGCTAAGAAATCAAAGCATATTCGGTCATGCTCCATGGAGAAATCTCAAAGGTCTGGTAAGAAGGCAAGCCGCAAACACAAGTCTAAGTCACGATCAAGGTAGTATACTTTTTAAGTATTTTGTTTGACTTTTAAAAAGTTTTTTTATATTCGTCTTCATGTGTACGGCATATGAACCTTTTTAATAAAGTATGGTATTTATTAAACTTTTTGTCTTGGGCAAAAGTAACTTTGGAAAATCTTTTAAAACTATTAATTACTAAGCCTAAAGTGTGTGTGGGTTTGGGGGTCTTTTATTTTTTCCAATTAACTTTTTCCCCCTTTTCCTTTATTTTTCAGATCAACAACTCCTCTTCGTCGTAAACGCTGAGGAATTTATGGCACCAGTGCTATGATGTTTAAAAATTCCATGAGTTATAAAAGGCTTGTCTCATTATAGAGGCACATTGTGGCTATGTAGGTGAAACCAGAATCCTTTTTTTTATTTGTAAATAGGTGTATTTTTTCCAAATGCTGCTCAGAATAATAGGATTTCTTTGTATTACATTTTTTCAAGAACGGTAGTGCTTATTAAGACTATAAAACAGGCCATTCTCTTTCAGCTGTAATGTTCTTAAAATTACTATTGAATGTACTGTGATGTCAATAAAGCTCTTTAGTTCATTTTTTGTTTAAAATTCTTGCACCTGAATTTTGTGGTAAATGGTAGAAAGTACTTAAAAAAAAAAAGAAAAAAGGCAGCTTTTTTGGTATAACAGATTTTTAAAGTACTTGAAAAAGATTTAACGTAAAACACTTGTAATCCATGGACATGATAAGATTACTTTATTAAGATTACTTTATTGGGGTGTGGAAGAACAGAGAAAAGACATCTTATTTTTCTTTAGATATGTGTAATAGATTTTTTAATAATCCTTTTTTTGGTCTAGCTGGTACTATATGCTGTGTATGTAAAATATGGGTCACTGTAATACAAGCTATACTTAAACAGACTGAACCCCATTAGGAATATGTGCAATTAACTGATCTCTTGTGGCAGTGTTAAGCTCTGGAACTATATTCCTCACCCAGTTTTCAGAGAGATCTTTGGATGTTCAGGGATATTACACACATCTCAGAATTTTCTATGTTTTTATGGAGCATGTTTATAAACATCATTCAGTACACACTGAAAAACTGACAATAGGTTACCTTTACATTTTGGCACATGCATTAAATGTGTACTGAATGTTAAAGGTAGGTCCTTAGTGTCTCAAGAATTATGACTCATGTAAAGCTGAAACACTGATGTATCAGCAATACCACTAAATTTTTGATTTTAATATTACCATAAAGTGAAAGAGGTCACTGATTACCTGGTTAAGGAAATTGACTATTGCTGTTAGAAACAAGAGTGTGAAATAATATAAGCTAAAAAACAAAACAACAATACCCAACTCTAGGCCAATGACTTACAGAAGAACATAAATTCATGGAGAGATCTGTGAAAAAGGTAAAAGGCTTAAAATCGAAGTAAGTTCTCTTTGATTGGCTCTATCTTCTACGAAAAAATGGTACTAGTACAGGCAACTTGGAAAGCATGTCTTCATGAACAGATAAATCCACTTAGCAAAGTCAAAATTCAGCTATGCAGCTTTTTTCTACTGTAATTTTTTCATTAATAATATGCAGAAATAAACTGCTTCAGGGCAAAGAAATACATTTTAACTATGTGTTTAATAAACAAGCTAATTGCTAGTGAATATGTGCATGTTTATCAAAACACTGTTACAGATAAATAATCAGCTGTAAATTGTAACACTCCCCCCAATTATATCTTTCACATAGAGTAAGCAGTCATATTTATTAGCAAACTAAGGCATAATTTACATCACACAACTTTACTTGCATTGGTAGGAATATAAATAATGATGTGTTGATCCAATCTCACTACACTCTTTGCTCTGGGTAAGAGTGAGGAATATTTTGAAAGTAGGTAGCATAACAGTTCAGCTGTCCTAGAAGGATGTCTTGTGAGAGACAGAAAGAAATTAGAACTAAGCTTAAGAAAAGCTGTTGAGGAATACAGTTTCCAGGATGCATTGAATTTGATTTTCAGTTCAGATTTTATATTCTCTGTCTAATAATAAAAAAAGATTGTGTATGAAAAGCTTTATATACTCTGCCAACAACTGGAATTCTGTCACTTCCTGTAAATATGAAAATTATTTTTTGACACATATGCACTTCTATGGGTAGTGACTGTATGCCAATAAAAAGAGCATACGATCTCTGTATTTAACTGTTTCAGAAATCTTACTATAACGGCCTACTCATCACTCAGTTATTAAATACATGTCGGTATTATTGTCAGCATCACATACATTAAACTTCCTTGGGCTTTAGAAACTCTCCTTTAGGAATGTCTTTCACCAGAAGAGGCTAGAATAACAACCACTCTCTTAATTCCATACATCTGAAGTTATCCTAAAATGTGCGAATACCTACAAAAATGGGAATGTATTGTTTTACAATGAATGCTGCAAAAACATTTAAATGCACTACAGGAAAGCAATACACAGGATTTTGAATGTCATGCAGCAACATGACATTTGGAGGCATTTCCCGTGAAAACTTTTTTTAATAAATGAGGGATGGTGTGGAATCAAATGAATAATGATTTCCAAGCAAATTGTTTTGAAGGTGAATACAACCAAGCCAATGTCTGTATGTGCCCTGAGGTGCTCGCTACACCGTGTAAGAACAAGAATTAGCTGTGGCCATAGATAGGCCAAAAAAGAGTAGTTGAGTAAATATTCTGACTTGAAAGATTGAGCAACTACATGTGTTTTGAAATACGGCACAATAACAAAAACTGTTCTGTATTTGAGGCTCTGTCTCATACAATAGCTACTTCTAGTTTCAAACAAGCTTGTCCTGTTAAGTAGAATACATGGCCAAGTGTGCATGTATTTACTTGCTTGTAAGCAGTTCTAAAATCACAAATATAAAGGCAATGGTAACATAAGGTTTGTCTCCCTTGCTCAGATTTTGCATTTGTTTTGCTAAATGAATGACAAGTAATAAAATTGAATAATATGTGGATGCATGCTTTGAAGGAAGGCTTAGTTTTGTCTCTTAAGGAGACTAACCATAAAGGATTTGTTGGAGCTCTGTTTTTTTTCAGTAGCTCTGAGGTGTTATTAATGACTCGTAACTCCAGTGCACTGTGAGCTTTGTTGGATAGAAAGCAGGTGAGTAGAAAAGTGAGGCAAGTACATACTAAGCAGGTTTGCCATATGTTTAATTGCTGTCCAGACAAACTTATTTGAGCCCTTTCATCAGTCCTTATTTAGCTTTGAAAAGAATAATCCAGACTTTAACTACTACATGAATTATACTGTATTTACAGGAGACATGTAAACAGGCAGATTTCAAGCAGTGAGGCTTGTAGTACGAAGTAAGGTCAGTACAGAAAGCAGGCTGGCGCTAGAGGAAAGTCAAGCCAGGACTGGTTATACTGCTCAAAATGTCCTGCAGCCTGGAGGATGCTCCTGCCCTTGGCGTTGTGCAGGCGGATGCCAGCATCTGCACAGCCAGACAGGGAACCCGGTCTCTGATCATCTGCCTGGTGGGCACGGGAGCGCTGCCAGCTCTGCTTTCATGGCTTACCTTTGCCGTGCTCTGCACTGCTGCCTTCCAGACAGCTTTGGTTTTCACTGCGTGTTCTTGTTGGACCTGCAGCTCAATAAAGTGTCAGAAAACTAATCTTTACAAAACCTGGCTTAATTATTTTCCATTTGTGTGTATCAGCCCTGAACTGCCAGGGCTGCTGACCTCAGTTCGGGGCCCTGGGCAGCAGTGTCTGCTAGAGAGCAGGGACGGCAGAAGCCCTTCTCGTTCCCGGGCCACAGCCTGGACTTCACCTGCAAACCGTGGCACGGCAGCCGCTCCGAGAGGCCGCGGCGTGGTTCCCATGAGGAGGCTGCCCCGGGCCCGCCGTGCTGGGGCCCAGAGGTTCTCGCCAGGCCGCAGTGCCGGCTGCTGCGATCGCTTCCCTCTGAGCCTGCCCCGACGCGAGAACTCTTGTACTTCTTGCCGTGCCCTGCAAGCCCGGTGTGTTTCTTAGTAATGAACGGAACTGAAAGCTGTGGGCTCGTCGCTGTGCCATCCGAACGAGCCTCTGCTTGCGGGTCTTTTCGTGTTCCAAGACAGGGGGATGACGGGGCACACATTTATGCAGAGTTGCTCCAGATGCAGCCCTGGCGACAAGTGCCACCGTAGGGACTGGCATCCGCACCGGCCCCAGCGCCGAGCGGAACCTTCCCGGCGCCCGCCCGGCGAGGCAGCCGGCACCGCTGGCCGCGGACCGGGGCGGGGCGAGAGCGGCGGCGGCGGCGGCAATGTGGGGCGGCGGGGCGGCCCGAGCGCTCGGCCGCGCCCTGCGGCGCCGGCGGGCGGTGGGCGCGCTGCCGGGGGCTGCGGGCGGTGAGCGGGAGCGGGGGAGCGCGGGGGAGCGGGCGGGAGGGCCCCGGAGGGCCCCGGCGCGGCCGGCGGCAGGGGCGGCGTGACGGGGCTGCGCTTCGCCGGCTCCCTCACAGCCGGGACCCGCACACCTCCGGCCGGCGGCGGCCCCGGGCGTGTGTGTGGCAGCTGCCGGCCGCGTCCCACGGCACTCCCGGCCCGCTCAGCGCCAGCCCGTCGGAAGGTGGTGTGCCCCTGCCGCCTTCTTTGCAGTCCGGAGTTGTCTGGATCGCTCCATCACTCACTGCGGCCTAAAATCGTCTTCAGGGGGTGGTTTACGCTGGGTACACTGAGGCATTGCTGAGATTCGGGGGCTGTCAGTGACCAGGCAGCAGCTGGGTGTGAGCGAGTGTTCGCCGTGCTAGGGAGAGCCCTGCCTCGGCTAAGCAGGAGAGGAGAGCAATTTCAGGGTATTGCCCCTGGCCTGTCTGTGCACCGTCCCTAAGGGTTTTTGCTTAGGTTTCCTTACTGGTTTGTACCATGCAAAATGAGTGTGCAGCTGTGTATGTCTCATTCCAACACATAATAAACCCAGCACTGCTGAGTGTGTGTGTGTGTGTGTGTGTGTGTGTGTGTGTGTGCACAGCTTACGGTCAAGGTAGACATTTTGGGGAAATTCACACTTACTGGAACATTCCAGTTGCATAAAAAGCTCTTTTCCATTCAGTCTCTGAACATGAAAATTATATACAAATTATTGTACATAATTTGAGGAGTACAGGGGTGGTGAACTAGCATACATTCTTTTATTTAATACCCAACTCTATAAGTACAAATGTGCAAAGATTTGCATGGTTAGTATTCTGCTAGAGCAGCACCCTTACAACTAGGTGTTTTGTCTCTGACTTCTTGTAAAGCTGATGTTTTCCATTTGGATGTCATTTATTTATGCAGATGACCATGCTGATCTGTCTTTTCAGACAGGTCTGAGACATATCCTTCAGGACTACAACAGGAAAAGACAAATGAAATCCAGTAGTACCTTCCCTGCCTCTCTGACTGAAATTAAAAGCAACATGTAAGTATTGTATCTAAAATAACACTGTGTGATGAGGGCTACCCTTTTCTGTAACAATTTAATTTGACTTCATGACTTTGTGACAGTGTCACCTGCAGTCGCTTTTATATCTCACAGGTTTGAATGTTTGATTTGGCCTGTTCTTAATTTACTGATTGCCAACTTAAAAATTACAGGCATGCAGCCATCTGTTTGGGAAGATATGTTGCCCATACAGTATACAATATCTATCTGCTACTAAACGAGTGTAACTCAAGTCTCTAAAGAAGGATGAGTTTTACCTCTGCGCATTTTCCTATGCAATATTTGTTTTTCCTATCTTTCAGCTGACATGAAATATTAGTATTGGTTTAATGATGTTCAGCTTTCATTATTTAGGTTCACTGTGAGGAGACCTTTCAGCACTTCACACTCATCAGTAGATTCAAAGGAATTGAAAAAATTCCAGCTCCTTGCACATAAGTGGTGGGATGAAGAAGGAGAATATGCAGCCCTTCATTCTATGAATGATATTAGAGTTCCATTTATTAGGTATGGTTTTGAAGACCGATTTTTTTTTTTAGATTTACTATTTCTGTATGACCTCAGAAAATACTGTAAAAAAAAAAAAGCCAATTACTGGTACTTAAGATAACTACAGGATCTATTGAAGCACCTTGTGGGTTCGACCTTAATCACATCCCTTTTCTTTTAGAGATACTCTGTTGAGCATGAGTAGTAATTATCATCTGGGAAATCCACTTTCTGGAATCAAGATTCTTGACGTGGGCTGTGGTGGAGGGCTGCTGAGTGAGGTAAGAAACAGTGAGCTCTGTGTTTTCTTGTTAAAAACCATGCAAGGTATTTGAATTGTACAAATTACACTGCTTAATTTCTAATCCTCCAAGGAGGACTTTTTGTCTTCTATGATATGTTAGTTACTGAGTAGAATGCAGTGCACTCATACCAAAAATCCCATAGAGTATTTGGTTAGCATAGTGTGGTGGTTTTACAGAGAATGAGGCAGTTGGTGATGAGAAATTCTAAAATTCTGATATTCTAAATCAGGAAAATAAGATTTCAAGCACTACAAAGTAGAGGAGAGGGGAAGAATGATGAAAAAGTCCTTGGATATTTCTTCCTTTATTTTTCTTTTTTTACTTTACAAGTCTGGGCAGGAATACTTGGAATCATTATATCCTCATTACCAAAGAAGTAATTTTTGTTATAAACTTGTTCTTACACATTCATTTATTTGAACTGCTTATCTTCAGTGTTTTACATGGGGATGGGGGATTCTCACCTTTGATTTGATCTCATGGGAAATGCATGGAATAACATCAAGCACCAAATCATACCTCTCCTGTGTCAGTTGAGATTGCTGTGGTAAAGGGGCTGGTGTTACAGTGGCTTCCAGAGAAGTCTGCACAAACCTGGGACTCAGAAGTTACTGTTTGTGATGGAATGCTGTCCACACAGGCTCTGACAGTGCTGTGTCCCATCAATAGACTAGGGATGGTTTGTGAATTTAGAGTTACAGATCTGGCTGACTTAACTGTGGGAACTTCATCAGCATCTGAAGTGAGGTGTTACAAAGGGACCTCAATCTCTCCCATGTTTTCTTTCTTGGTTTTGTCTTCTCTTTTGAGAAAAATCTTGTAGTCTTGTGAGAGGGGTCTATCGAACAGTGGATAGACAACACAAAACTGGAGTGCTGCATCACCTTCTCAGGCTGAACAACTGGTGAATTTCAGGTTGGAATATCATACATGTGGT